TCAAGGATGTAGCTTATCCGACTTGCGACCCGACTTTTCCACACGGGGTGTGTTAGGAGTTATAATCTCTGCATAGAATGGCTGAAGAGTCATGCACAAAATAAGCGTCAAGATCTAACGACCTGAATGGTTTCCTGGCCAAATTAAGGGCAATTCCAAATGCATCAAACTTGTAAAGCTGGTAATGCTATTAAATTATGTTGATTGCTTTGTTAATAAAGCCGATTTTGGTGAATTAAAGGGCAAATCTGGAGAGAGCTGAGTTTCGCTAACAACGCATATAACTATTCTTTCGCATTCTTAATCTCCTGCTGTTTTTCATTATAACGCCCTCCGCGTTGCAGGTTCAGCGTCTAATATACGAAGCCATTACAAGTGGACTCTAAGCCCTTCACAGCCTTAGGAATGGTCAAAAGATTCGTTGTTTGGATAGCTAACACCTCCCACATTGTTTGTTGTATTCGTTGTTTTTGATGTTGCCGAGTAGCTGGGTTTGCATGATAAGTGTGTGTAGTATATTGATCGCAAAGAGTTACTTGGTGCGGTCTTGCTCTCAGCAGGAAGCATAAAAAATAGTCGGGGTTACGGTAAAGAATAGAGTGGATGTTAAAGGCCTCCGCGGACTACATTTGCAGCTTGATAGGTGGCGGTGCGGACCTTACTACAATATGCACAGCTAGCAGGCGAGCCTCGTGTTTTATTGCACTTCGCACTTAAGTGGCTCTCACTAAAATTTAACTTATGGCAGTTCCACTGCGTTAAAGCTTGCAGTGCTCGCTAAGATGTGAGAACGATGGCACTGAACAATACCACTATTTTTTTTGTAGTTTTTTCGCTCGCAATAAAAGGCGGAAGAGTCTTCAATTCTAACAGTTTTTTCGTTCAGTTCTAAGTGTATTCACCAGCGCATTATGTCTACGACGTAATGCAAGCTCTTTGAGGACCTCTCTGAGCCTCTCATAATTTTAAAGTCCTCGTTATGATTATTGCTATCTTTTTTTTTTTTTCAGAAATATACTTATTACTATCATTATTATTACACCTAATATTATATATTTACCAATATGTTAACAGTTATATTTTATCTCAACGACACTATTATGAGGACTTTTAGGCATAAGATTACTACACTACTCCCGATATTATCTATTTCATCGTTAATAGCTTCTTTTCCCGTAACTTTTTATGGTACGCTACTTTTTAGTATCACTTCGGAAGTCCAGGGGTGGTCTTGAATCTGTGGATCCGTATATATTATTATTTTGTTGTTAAATATACTTTTAAAAGACTTCTTTTATCTTATGAGAAATTACTTAAGTATTTTTAGTAAATTCACTCAGGTTTGCCTTTTTCAAATGTAACACTCTCCAAGTTCTTCTTTGATAGCTAATAACTTAAAAGTAAGTGTTCGCTGCTAACATTTAGACTGGGGAACATTTTTTTAATAAAATTATGTTAATAAATAATAAATAATAATAAAATTAAAATGTCTAGTAAATTTGAGTAAAAGTCAGTGATTTAGAAAAAAACCAAAAAATATAGCTGAATAGAATATCTATGGTATAAGAAAAGCTATATTATAATTATTATAATTTAGCAAAAATGATTATAAGTGCACAACCCATATTACAATTGTAGCCGCTACATTTGCAAAAAAATAAATATAAAAAGTTTCTGTAGGTGTGGTTAGTAGCTTGACTGAAAGTATTACTTTAAAAGTTAAAATTAACAAAATTCTAAATATTTTTCTGCTTATCTAAGTCGTATAATAGGTTAATAAAAAGACTCTTTGTTACTTAATAATTGATTATTCGGTTTCCTAAAGTCGTGTTTCTACTTAGTAGAGGTGAGAATTATATTGGGAATAGTAGCAATAAAAAGGGCTTACATCGCTTATGTCATTTTTAACGTTTTTAAAAGGTAAAAAGAACCAAAAATTCGGCGTTCGAGAGTAGTTATGCAAGTAGACTCTCTACATTTATTTATTACTAGCTAATAACCAAACCTTTGTAGCAAAAAACTTTTAAACGTCAGTTGGTGTAGAGCGTTTGACCACTATGTAATCTATTAGTGAGGTATCTAAATAGGTACACATACATTTTTTCTGTTAATAAGCTTATACAAAAGACTAGCACGATAAATTATAATATGGGCAATAAGCCGTAGCACAAAAATACTTTAATGACGTAAAACGGAGAACTTAATTTAAAAAATTAGTCCAAAAACGTGATGGACAGAAATGGAAAGTCTTTTGCCAATCAACTTGGCGTATTACAGCAAGCAAAAAGCTGGTAATATTTAACGCTCAGGCTATTTTGGTAAGCCATTTAAAAATGTCCCATTTTAGTTTTTAATTTGGAGGATATTATGATTTTTTAGATTAATTGTCTGCAACGGCAGGTTTTTATTTGTTTGGGTTTGCGTCTCTGCACATTTCAACTTTTTCCGTTTTTTTGCCGTTTTGGGGCCGTTAGTTTGAAGTTTTTCTATAAGTACGTTTACATTTTGCTGTTTTGTTTATTATTTTTAGTTTACTTATTTAATTTTTCTTAATAATTATTAATCACATTTAAAAAATAAATATAAACATTTCTATAAACAAAGGTAGGCTTTTTAAAGGCCTCCACTACTGTTTCTGTTAAAGTTTGTTAAAATGTCAATTAAAGCAATGCAGATTTATAATTATCTATTAATAATAAACTTTTATCTTCATTCTTTTTTAATTTTTCGTTGTGTGACTATTTATGCTATGTAGGGTCATAGTCTCAAATGGCACGTACTAAGCAAACTGCTAGAAAGTCAACGGGTGGAAAAGCTCCGAGAAAGCATCTTGCCACTAAAGCAGCTCGAAAATCTGCGCCTACTACTGGAGGAGTTAAGAAACCTCACCGGTACAGGCCTGGCACAGTGGCACTTCGCGAAATAAGAAGATATCAGAAATCTACTGAACTTTTAATTCGAAAACTTCCTTTTCAGCGTCTTGTTAGGGAAATTGCTCAAGTACACTTTTCTAATTTTTCTACGTTAATTAAAATTAATTTTTTTTAATTTTGAGGATTTTAAAACTGATCTTCGTTTTCAAAGCGCGGCTGTCGCAGCTCTGCAGGAAGCTTGTGAAGCTTACCTCGTTGGTTTATTCGAGGATTCCAATCTATGTGCAATTCATGCTAAGCGCGTAACGATTATGAGCAAAGATATTCAGTTGGCCAGAAGAATTCGAGGCGAAAGAGCTTGAGCAATTAAAATTTACATTTAACTAATATTTTCGAGTTATTACTATATAAACCGCGGCTAAATTATATGCTTGTTGTATATAGATAATTACTAACTTTATTGGAGATGGGCACTTATAGCTTAAAATTACCTAAAAGTAATTTTTAGTTTTTCTGGTGCATTCGTTTCTTTTCATGAGGTTTTTTTAGTAGGGTTTTATTATTTTAAGAATTGTTAAAAGTAAACACATGCGTAGGTTAACACACACACGTTAGTGTGTCGAAGTCTTTGGCTTTTTCTTTGCATAATTGTATAGTAAATCTTAAATTACGAGTAGCAGGACTCGTTGGAAAACTTTTCAGTAAAGTTTTGTATTCTGTGCCATGTAAGGAAAATCGCGAAAAAGTGGTGACTGGCAGTTCTGTATATATTAAGATAGCTTGTTACATTTGTTACATTTGGAGACTTAAATTTAAAGTATTTAGTGCACCAGTTCAAAGAAGTTAATTATCGATTTGTCTAACTTATAATACGGCAAGAAAAATTATGTTTAGGTCCATTGTTGAAAGTTTTTGTTTGTTGAGACAAAAAAGCGACTTTTTGTTATAAACTTATAATATAATACACCTCATATTGGTAGGAGAGGCCGAACTTATAGTATATACTAGTTAATAACACCATTGTTTCAGTGTTTTTTATATACTACTATACTACTACTACGCCATAGAGGAAAAGTAAGCACTCTGTCAATTAGCCAATACGAGTTAGTTAACAATCATAGTATATAGCAACAACCTCTCACTATGTTTTTTAAAAGGTTAAGGATGAAGGACTATTTTATACTACAGTATTAGTTGCTCTTTAGGGACCTTTGCCTAAATAGAGCTACTTTTATTATGTCTATTTATATTGCTTTAAAGCGAGCGAAGTCGCGACGTGCGGTTGTAGCAATAGAGCAGGCTACAAAATGCTTTATGCTTGAGGTGTATATTTTTAACATGCTTGTAGCTTACTATAAATTAGTGCAGTTTATCAGACTATAGAATTTGGATACGTTAAGACGCTAAAGGTATTTCCATAATTTAAGCTGCTTTGATCTTTTTGTTATTCCTAGAACGGCACAAAAAGCATAGTAACAAACTAGTTTATAGACATAACCAAAAAAAAGGTACTTCCCCATTCCCGTTAAGCTGTCAAGTTGTTATATTGTCAGAAGTTCTTTCCTTTAGTTACGCATGGTTTTTCCTCCAAAGTAAGAGTAAATGGTAAATGTATAAACATTTATTACCCAATTTATGTGGTATACACAGTAAGCAGTCTGCCCCTCATACTACAACACGGTTTCCTCTTGCGAGGGCTTGCTGTCTCTGGTTAGGAAATCAACCGCAACGTTCTTATAATCCATTTTTAAACTTTGTACGGTGTTCCTTATTGCCCACAAGCTGGCAAGCGGAAGTAACATGAGATTTTTTAGAAGCAACGTGCATTTAAGATCGCTAAGGAATATTTTGCAACTTTAAACTTTTAAGAGATGACGTTTAACCAGAGCAGGATAGTTAATTTATGTACTTATTGTATATTTTTTAACATTATAAATGATAGCTGGTTATTCTTGCTCCTATTAGTTCTTAATTTCTCTTTTGGAAAAGAATATATTAAAGTAGGCAAGTTGAAAATAATGAGCGAAATAGACTTTTTTTTTAATTACTGCAATTTATAATAACACGGAACGAAATCATGCTTCTGTAGATCCATATTTATATTAATAGTAATTGTTTTTAACAGTTAAAAATAAATACAAGATGCGTCAAATATACTTTTGAAGATATTCATCTATAAAATAACTTATTTATAAGTCGTTATCATTAATAAAGCTGTCACTTGTGTCTCCTTCAGTTTCCAAATCTTCGCTGAGACTTTCCTAATAGTAAAGAATACCCTTAGTAAAATTAAGATGGAAAACTAATTGATTAAGCATGAATATTGCTTTTCAAAAAAATCAATATTATACTTCTGTTTCCAAAATTGACTCGCTTGCGTTGGTGACGTCGATGAGTTGAGGATATTTGAAATGGCAACTGGAACACTCCCCTAAAGGAAAGTTTAAAGTAAAAATGGTTACACTTTTAACAAATGTCCTTAACTATCAAAAAAAAATTTAGTAAAAGCACATGAATGTAAAAAAATTTTGAATTTCTTTTATAATTTTTTTAATATTTTACCATTAAATACATTTGTCTGTTATAACCTTCATAAACATGAAAATAATATATTACCTTTTTATGTTTATTTTTTATTTTTATAGTTAATTTTATTTTTTTATTCATGTAACTATTGTATAGTAATTTTTTTATCTCGATTAGCCTATATCATTTTGCCTTATGCATACAGACTAGTAAGGAGCGGAACAAGAAAGGCTAGCCAACTTATTATTATTTAAATAAAGCTCTATAACTATTTTTAATTGCATAAAAAACTAAATTAAAAAATTATTAAAGTGAAATCTTTCGATGAGTTAAATGGATTTTTAAAAAAATTTAGATAAATGTATCTTTTCCCTGCATTTAATTCTTCGTAGGACTTTATAGAGTTAAGCAAGGAAAAGAAGTTGATTTAAAGGATTCATGGCTTGCGTTGATGAGCTATAGATTTTATCTTTTTAAAGTTTTTGTGATTATAAATTATAGAGCTACTTAAATATATAAATTGTTACAAATTTTTCTTAAGAGTTGGATCAATTTTTTTTTAAAAGCAGAATTTTTCAGAAGTGTGCTTCTTTTTAGGTAAAAGGCATCATCTCTAACTAAAACCTTTTTTTATTAATCTAATGAAAACAACTTAAAATCTAAAAAAAAAAAAGGAAATTTTAAATTTTTAAAAACGAAACGCTTTCTTATAGTACAAAAATCTACTTTTTCTTGAGAAATTAAAATTAAATATTTCTTTGTATAGCCACTTGTGGCGTGAAACGTCAATTTTGTTTTAAATAAAGCATCTTTACAAATTTGAGCTCTTTAAACTTTTTAATCACTTGCAGTAGAAAAGACTATGATTGCATATTACAAAAGCGCTTTGCCAAAAAAAAATTAATATTTAAAAACTGTAACAGGTCAGTATAAAGATGAAAATGAAAAAAAAAATAAAAGTTTTCTATAGGAAACCTCGAACCACTTCGCTTTTGCAAGTACCGCAACGAAAAATGCTCTCACTCGAGTCGTATATAAAAGTTCTTTTTTTTAAATCCGTTAAGGGTATAACGTTTTCTAATAAAATAAAAAAAAATAGTTACTTGAGCAAAATTTAAAATAATTTTTTTATAATGTAAATAAATAATATTTTAAGTTAATAAAAAATTAAAAAAGGACTGAAAGAGAAAAACGAACCCCATTTCAAATTATTTAAGGGTTGGGTAGCAGAAAGTTGTTTATAAAGATATTCACATCTTCTTTCCTCAGGAAAACCTTCAATCATGATTTCTAGTTGAGATTCTAAGGAGTGTGAGGGAACTGGGTAAGCAAGAACAGGAGCTTGACATAATCGACATCGTTGAAGGGTGGCTGTTGCTTTCTATAAAAAATATATAATTTCTCACACTTGGAAGTTATTAAGTTTTTACTTCTTCCTCAAGAACTTTTAAAAGGCATAAACCGCAAAAAGAATGTCCACAAGGCAAGTAATAAGGTTTAACAAAGAAATCATCGCAAATGCTACAAAATAAAGCTTTTTTATAAAGTAATACTTCGTTTTTTAAAGAAGTAATAGTATCATGAAGTTTTTCGAGTTCAGTTTTAACAAATTCAACGTTTTGTTGTTCTTGAGTAGCTAGCTTGTATTCCTGGGGATCATTAAACCCTTTTTATTATAATAAAAATAGCTTTGAAACTTTTTAACAAAAACAATCCAACTTAACACTTAAATAACCTTTTAATTCAGAATCTATGGGATCGCTTTCAAAAGAATCGCCCTTTAAGTTTTTCAATCTCTTGCTTGAAGTATAAGTTACCTCATCAGTATCGTTAAAAGTTTTAAGATAATATTTACTCTTGGCTACCACCCCTTCAAAATTCATATATAGCAGTGGAAATAAACAATCCGTTTGTCAGGGTAGCAGTTAATAAGGAAAGTTAACCTTCTGTATAAGAATTATTTCATGAGTTTTCTATACGAAATATGTTTGAGTTCTTTGCTAGAAGTTTGTGTCTTTATCGTTCTTGCAATCCTGCCAGCTTAACACTATATCTACCTTTTATAAATTTGTTAGTTCAGCTCTTCTCTATAAAAATGTTTTTGTCTCAAGAATATATTTATTTTAACGTTTGTCGTCGTCAAGGCTAAATAAGAGTGGCAAAGTAAATATTTTTAGTATATATTTTTAGTTTATTTCTATTTAAATTCCAATATTAGGTCATTAATTTTGAAATAAAAATTTGTAAAATTTAAATTTTTTTTTTCTTTTTTAAACTTGACAATTAAAGTGAGATAGGTAAACCTTATTACATGTATATTCCGCTTAAGGTCGTTATCAAGGCAAATAGTTGCACAAATAGTTTTTTTATTAAAGCAATAACTTTATTAAAAGCTTTATAGAAGATAAAAAGCTTAAGCAATTACTAGATACTATAAAGACTTTAATTCTGTCTCGAAAATTAATTCAATTCTCAAAACCAAAATTATATAGGTTTTACATAGAAAGGAGTAGTGGCAGAACTTGCTACCCAAAAAGTTTTTATTATCTTATAAAGTAAAGATCGGTCGAGTGAATAAATTATTTGTTTAAAACGTATATAATAAAAACCGCCTTGTTCTTTGTACTATAAAAAGTATGTCTAGCAATATGTATCAAGTAAATTTAACATCTACATATTAAGAAAGTTAATCAGCTTGATTATTTAAAAGTTGTCAATGCTGAAGGTGACTAACATCGTAATCTCAATATTAAAGTTAAAATAAGGTAGCTCAATTTACAGTATAACAGAATTTTTTTGGTAAGTCGTAGCACATAAACATTTAACTGTTTTCTTAAAAAAAAATTAAGAAACTTATTTTTTTTGGGAAATTGATGATAATTTAAAGTTTGTAAGACTGATGTTTTAAACTAAAAGTCCCATCATATGCTTTTAAAAGATCTATAATATTTTTATAGTTATCTCCTTCGTTCCATATTTGATAAATAAAGATAAAAAAAGTAATTATTTTGATAACTACGATACCGTGACCTACAAAAATGTTTGTAACAAATATAAGTAACGGGTAGCCCCTTTAAGCGCTAGCTTTAAGTTTAAATTAAATCTGCAAAACAATTGAATTAAGAAAAAAAAAGTTTATTGTACAAATGTAATTTAATTCAGAATGCTGTTAATTTACAGGAAAGCTAGTTGATCGTAAAACTCCTGCCTTAACACTTTTATGACTTCTACATGACAACCAGTTCAAACCTGCTGTGATTTATTATAAAAATGAGTGGTTGGGGGCCCTCATAGTAGTATAGTTAATATACTTAAAGAATCTGGAACACAGACGTAACTAAACCTTAATAATATATATAGCGAAAATCAATTATCGTATTTTTACTTTTTGTTATTACGAATATAAATTATTCTTTGTGCCAATTTTTTTTGTTTCTAATATTTAAAAGTCTATTTAAAATTTTTTACAATTGTTTAGTTTACTTTATAAATTTTACTTATTTAATAGTAAATTGATAACTATTATTTTTTGTTTGTTTTTACAAAAAATAAAAACAATAAATCAACTTTTTCCAAATGACCAGGTTTCTAAATCTACTTTTACCCTTGCAAAAATAATATAATGTCTTTTTCCCCCTTTAATCAAAATTATTTACTTACGGCTGAACTGACGAAACACCAAAATCCAAAAAATTTGTTTATCACGTTAATAAAAACGTTAGGATGCTACAATTATAGCGTTAAAAATTCACTAGCCAATTCTAAAAATAAGTTAAACAAAACCTAAAAACTTATATGAAGACCAAGTAAAACTTAAAGGGCTTATATAAGCGCGAGCGGCGCAATGTAAAGACAACTAAAAAGATGAGCACTTTATTTCAGACAAAACCCCCCGTGAAGCATAGTAAAAACAGAAAAAAAATCAAAGTCAAAATATAATATTATTTTATTGAGCAGATAAATTTAACATGAAGTCCTGTACACAAGTATAAACATGAAACAGATAAAATAAAGCTAGTGAATTCAGATCAATCTGTTTGAAAAAAAAGATTTCGTATAACAATCAACAAATGATTACTTAAAAAAAAAAAAGATTTTCAGAAATAAGGATTATTTCATAGGATTACCTCCAAAGTAGCAAATATACAAAGTCGAACATCATAAGTATAACAATTATGTTAGTTAAACAAACAAAGTCAAACCTGAAATAATTGTAGCAGGGGGATCTGAAAACAGATGGTGTAAGGTGCTCTATATAACAATAATATCGCGCCAATAAACTTTCATAATAATAATTATTAAATATATAAACTTTACTTCAGCTACTTGAGATCAAAGATTAAAAAAATTCAGTTGTGTAATACAATAAGGTGATAAACGATTCCAAGAGTACAGATAATAAGTATAATTAACTTAGCAAAGCTATGTTGCTATATGTTATAAAAGTCTAGGAAAAAAAATATATAATAAAGAGAAATAACAAAGTGTGCTGGCCGACAAAAAAAAATATCACTAAACTGAAAAAGAAAAATAAAAAAGATCTATTCACGTGTTTACTTTATAGTAAATTTGAATTTTCTCATTTGCACGTGCAATTCTTAGTAAAACATGTGCAAACCGCGTTCCCAGTTGTAAGCTGGGCACATGTCGGAAAGAATATTAAACTTTTCGGGACAAAAATTTTTATAGTTAGCAAGCGCATTGTATAGAATTTTAGCTTTGAAATATACAAAATTGAATATTATGAACTATAATTTGGTTTATATAATTTTTTGGCTCGAAACTGAACTGGAAACCAGTGCTTTATTTATTAACGGCAGCATGACTTTTTACCTACGATGTTTTATGTTAAGATATCTCGAAAAGGTTATGAGTTGAAAAAAAATTTCAGAACTTATTAGTTTGTTTCCCAAAAAAAACAAACTATAGTTTATAACAAAGATATTTAGCAATTATGCCAAAGAATAACCTAGTACCTTAGCGTCATACCACCTATCCGCTTGCACATGTTAGAAGAGCATTTTAAAAATCTGTTTACAGACTTCTTCTCTGTTCTAGTTCTTAGGGAAGCATTCTAATTTAGTTTTAACTCCTATTTTAGCTGAGAGCACTATGCCTAAAAAGCCGTTAACCTGGGGACTTAACTCTAACTATATTTTTATCCCTTTACTGCGACGCCCACTCGTCGCTGTAGTGTAGAACTTTTAAAGGGGGAATGTGTTCATATTAACCAATTAACCTTCAACAGTCTAGCGGAGGTTTCGAAATATTTTTTTCTGCTATTTTTTAAAATATTAGCCCGAACTATGAGGTTTTGGATATAACTGACATTTACAGATAGTACAGCCTCCACTTGTAGACGCTGAAAGAAAAACTAACTCGCCACTATTCGGTAAAGAGTCAAAAAATGGTGATAAATAAGACGCTTATTTTTTATACAATAGCGAGTAATAAAAGTTTTCTTACTCATCCGAGTTTAGGGAAGAGCCGTTGTCAATTATTTAAATAAAAAAAAAGAGTTCAAGCAACAAACCAATCATCCTGCCCTACTGGGCTGCATGGTTTGTCTGGCCGTCACTACGAAGCGAACCTCGTAGGCTTTGCTATAAAGTGGATACCTTCTTTAACGTGAAGATTAAAGGATGGGCAGAAATAAAAAGAATTTTGGGGAAAAGCATTTGAGAGGTATAAATGATAAGGAAAAAATACCAGAAGGCAGCATTTTTACGCAAAATCCTTTTAATTTAAAAATAAATAGACGGAAACATGATATTGTTAACAGACATGTTAAAGGTATTTATTAAGCGCATTTATTTTCTTATATAACCATTTATTATATTTGTTAAAGGTGAAAAAGGTAACCGTATTATTGCTACCGAACGCGCACGTCAAATAGTAATTTTTACGAAGTCAACTTATAATAATATGTAAAATTTATCTTTATAAATATTATTTAGAGAGAACATACTCTTTTTAAAGAATATAATAATAAGAATAAACGAAACGCATTTTTGGATAAAAGATTTGGAGAGAAGGACACTAACTTAAGTCTTGAGGAAAAGATGCTTCAGCGTTTTGCAGCTGAAAGGCGGTCTCTGTCGAGAAAAAAAAGCATATTTAATTTGAATGATGACGAATTTCAATTAACGCATTGCGGTTATACCTTTAACACATATTTTAGAATTAATTTTTATTAAAAAAATTGAAAAATTTTTTCTATTAATTACTTGAAGCCGTCGTAAATAATTTTGATAACTATTTTTAAAATATTTTTATTTTTAAAAAAGTCTTTCGCTTATCAATAATTATGGTTTACCTTAAATTTTATTTACTATTATAGTAAACAATTTTTCCCTTATATTTTAAATTAGATTGTATAATCATTTCAATTATATATATTTTTTTGCTCTGTAATTATAATTTATTTAGATTATAATTCAAGTATTACTGTGTTAATTAAATCAATGTTTTTTTATTTTAGTTAAATTTATTAAAACTATTTAGTTGTTTTCGATTCTTTTACATATATTTACCTTTTTTTATTTTTTTTTTACAGCATTACTTTCTTAATTCATAATTTAGTTTATATTTTTATTCTTAATTATATTACTGAATTTAACTTTTATAATAAAGTAATTTTACTTTTTTCGATCTTTTAAGGATTCGTAAAACCTGTTAATAATTTTATTCTCCTAAGTAGATTCAAATCCTTTTATATACTTTTTTTATTATTCTCATTACTTGTTTCTGTAAATTTATTTTTATAAATATTCATTTTTCATTTTTTTATGAACTTTTGTTTTTTTCTTTTAGAACTTTTAATTTTTTGTTTACTTATTTTTTTTTGGAGTTTACTATTTATTATTTTGAAATTTGTTGCCCCTCTCTTAACTTTTATTTATTTTTTAATTGTTATATTGTAGGACAACTAATTTCTGGATTGGATTTTTCTGTAGAATCAGGTTTTCAGTTGGAGGATGAAGAAGGTTTTTAATTATATGAAAAATTGAATTAAATTGTAAATAAGTTTAATTTTATACATTTACAAAGAAATTATGTTAGCTTAAATATTTAATTGTTTTAATTTTTATTAGATTTTTATATTTTCATCATTTCTACTTCTCCTTTTTTTTATTTACAATAATAAAATAACTTCAATTTTCTATATAGATTTTTGTTAATATTATAATTTTTTTAAAAAATTTATGTTTAAATTTTATAATAGTTAAAGGTTTTTAGAATTTTTTTTAACTTTTCTCGGATGTTTATTTAGATTTAGACGAAAATTACGTTAAGGCTGCACATTTTGAAGGATTTGATTCTGAAAATAAAGTTTTATATAAATTTATTATAAAATTTGTTAAACGAGATTTTAATTTATATATTCCCTTTTTACTATTTTCAAAATTCTATCTGTAATTTTTTTAATGTATTTTTATTTTCCTACAATTAAAAAAAATAAAACTTAAATTTTCATTTACTGTTTTTGAAATTTTTATAAATTTAATTTATTGTAGAATAATTTTGAATTTTTTTGATTATATATTTTTTTTACATTTATAACTTTAATAAATTTTTTTTGCTGATTAGATTATTTATATAAATATTTTTATTTTTATTGTGAATTCTTTTCTTTTTGTTAATTTAAGTTTTATTATTATAAATTTATTTCTTAATTTAATTTATAATTTATATGTTGAGTTTATATAACTTTTTTTGTTGAACAGATAATTAATTCAATTTGTAATTATAAATTTATTTTAAAGTATTTTATAATTTATTTGTTAAATTTGTATATAACTTTTTGTAGTTTAGATTATTTTTATTTATTGTGAATTTATATTTTACTATTTAACTTTATGATTAATTTAAATTTATTTATTTTTCAAAAACAATTTTTTAATTTTTTTTATTTTTACTTAAAAAACTTATATAAAGTTATATAGAAGTTTATTTTTATTTTTATTGTAAAGTTATTTAATGTTTTTTTTAAAATAAAAAGCTTAAGTATAAAATTATTTTTATTTCTTATAATTAACTAATTTAGGGTTGATTATTATAAACTTTATATTTTTTTTAAATCTATAAATAATTTTAAATTTTGTACTTTTACTTTTATATTATTTTTATTAAATTCTTTTTTAATTTATTTTTTTATATTTAATAATTTTATTTTATTTAACATTTTCTATTATATTTTTTCTATCGAAATTTTTCTAGTTAAATTTTAATTGTGATTTTGCTTTAAATTAATTGACACTGAATTTTTTTTGTTTATAAAATTTACTCATTTTTTTTATATAATCCTGTTAATAAAATATTTTTTTTCTGAAAAGTGTTAAGAATAACAACTTTTCTGTTTTCGTTGTAAATTTATTAATTGTTGTTTTATAAAAACATAAAAGTTTAAGTATAAAAATTATTTATTTATTTTTTATAATAAAATAATATAGCTTTAACTTTTATAAACTTTTATTTTCCTTTAATTATTAATCTTAAATAATTTAGTTTAAATTTTATATTTTTTTTCAATTAATAATGAGATAATTTGGCGTTAATCTATATAATTTTTTTTTTATTGTATTTATAAATCTTATAAATTTTATATTATATTTCTGTTAAAAAAATTATAATAAATATTTTTTTAAATAAAAGTAAAAAAAGAAAATATTATTCTGAATAACAACTTTTTTTAATGTAAATTTTGTAAATGTTCAATAAATTTATAAAAAGTTAAAGTGTGGAATTATTTTTTTAATATTTTATAATATTATATTATAGCGTTAATTGCTACAAACTTTATTTTTCTTCAAATTTATAATTCTTAATTTAAAATTTTGTTTAATACGTTAACAGTTTATATTTTTTTTTATTTTTTTTATATAATAATTTTATTTAATAATTTTTTTATGAAATTTTCGTTTTTTAAAATTTATTTTATTATATTCTAAAATTAGTTAGTGTTCATTTTTTGTTTATAAAAATTATTTTAAATTTTACTTTTAATTCTTATGATTAAAGTTTTTAGATTTATGATCTTTTTATTTTTTTTAAATTACCATGAATTTAAAAAATATATTAATAATTTATTAATTGATTTTGATTGAAGCAAATTTAAAGTTGTCATATATTTTTATTAAGAAAATTATTTTACTTTATTTTTGAAGGCTCCCAAATCGCGTCGTGAAGTGATGAACGAAATTATAATTAAAAGCAAACGAGCAAAAGTATTTTTTATTTTTATTTATTTATTTTATTAATAATTATATATTATTTTTATTTTCTTATCATTTAAATTTTTTCTTGTTATTTATTATTATTTAATTTATGTAGATGCAAATTTATTTTTTTAATTTTTTCACAATAATTTCATAATTATTTTTTGTAATTATTTGTTTATGTATTTTTTATTATTTTATAATTATTATATTTTTGTATTATTATTTTTTATATATATATAATAGTATTTTATAATTTTATATTTTCATAATTATTAAATGTTATATCAATTTTAGTAATGTTATAAATTTTTTTATATTAATTTTTTTTTGATAAGTTTTTTTTATTTCAATTGTAAAATTTATCATAATTTATTTAAAATTCTGCCTTTTTTATACTTGTTACTTTTATTTTTTCTGAATTTTTTTGTAGCAAGAAGTTATTTTTATATTTATTTTATAGAAGTAAAATATTTATTATTATTTTAGTAATCCTAATTGAGATATTAATTAAAATTCATATTGTAGTTTTATTAATTTAAACTAAATTTTTATTTAAATAATTTAGTTAAGTATTTATAAAGAGATTTTCTATTTTTATTTTTTTTTGTTATAAAATTTTAATAAATTATTTTATTATTTAATAATCAAAATAGAAATATTTATAAATTACATTTTAATTATAATTTTTAAAAAAATTTAATTTATTAGTCATTTCCTTTTATAATTTTTTACAAAAAGAATTTATTTTATTATATTTATTATTATTGTTCTAGTATGAAAGACAGCTAGAACGGCAGGAAGTTGACGATCAACTTTCCGCTTTGGATAAAAGATTTGAGATGATCAAAAATGAATTGGTGAAGTCGCCGGCGGTACACACTTTATATATTTATTTAATAAATATAGAAAATATTTACTTTTGTGGTATGCAAGTTTTGTAGTCTTGAAATTTTAAGATTCGATTCCATTTATTTTTAACTTTTTTTTTTTACTTTTTTATAACTGAAAAGTTAAATTTTGTTATAAAATTTTTTTTTAAGATCGAAAGCTTACTTTTGTTTATTTACATATAGAAAGTTTTTTTGAAAACATTTTTTATTGCCGTGTTTTACTTTTGTTGCTTGAAAACATTAAGATTCTACTCGAAATTATAAGTTTGAAATTTTATAATAAGAATTTTTTTATAATTTTCTTTACTAAAAAAGTTAAATTTTGGCAAAAAAAAGTTCTTTATTATTTATTATAATTTTTATATTTTCGAATACATTCATTGAATTTATTATGTTTTTTTTTATTAAATAATTTATTGGATTTGACTTTTTATAAATTTTTATTATTTCTTTCTAAATTATTTTTTTCTATAAACTCAAAAAGTTATATTTTTAAAAAAGTTTTTTGTATATCGTTACAATCTTTAAAATGTCGAAATTTTACTTTTTAGTGTGCAAGTGATATAATTCTACCAGAATTTTTTTATGAATCATTATTCTTTATTTTAACTAAAAAAATATATTTTATTAAAAAAAGTTTTTTATAGTTCGTTACAATTTTTTATAATGCCGAAAATTTACTTTTAACGTTTACAAGTATTATAATTCTACTAGAAATTTTAAGATTTGGATTTATTATATTTTTCAGGCATTATTTTTTTTTAACCAAAAAGCTAATTTTTTTATGGAAAAGTGTTTTTAGAATGAAGTCCAACATAATTATTATTAGTTTATAAGTAATTCTTAAGTAATAATTCACAGTCTAAACTATTTTTATTATTTTTGATTCACATTTTTTATTATAAAATATTTAAATAATTTTTCAACAAATAGATTTTAATGTAATTAAATTTATTTGAAATTATTATTTATAATTTTATATAAAAATTTAATTTTGTTTTGACAAATTTACTTTTTTTTATTACTTTTTTTCTAAGAATTTATTTATATATCTTATTTTATAAGAAAAAAACTTTTTCTATAAATTATTCAGTCTTGTTTTTTTTTAATTATATTGAAAATTTAAAAATTTTATAAATTTCTTTTTTATTTACTTCATAGAATAAAAATTTTGTTTGATTTTTAGATTATTTTGAAATTTTCTTTTAATAATTATTATTAATTTTTTTTAACTTCTCACGGTTTTTGGATTTGGCTTGGAATTTAGGAACCACTAATTTCCGTGGTGAGTCAAATTTCTAATTAATTTTTGTAAATTTTAAATTAAATTTTATAAATTTAAAAAAAAACTAATAGAATTCGGATTCTTACGATTCTCTTGTGGCTTTTTTAAAAGTGGACCGCCAGAAGAAGGCTAAAGCAGCTGATCGCGCTAAAAGTGAAGAAGAAATTGCTCGAGAAGAGGCGGACTTACTTGAAAAACTTGAAGTATTTATTAATGATAATTATTAATTTATAAAAATAAATAAAAATAAAAATAAAGAAATAAATTCTTATAAATAATAATAAATAATAATTATTTGTAAAACTAAAATTTTTATTTTATATACATGTAAATAAAATTAAATTATAAATAACTATTGAGTTGGATAATAATAATATTTAATGAAAAATAATAATAATGTTAAGTAAAAAAAAATAAAAGTATTAAAGAAATATATTATAATAATAATAAAAATATATGAATTATAAATTTTTAATGAATAATACTAAAATTATGGAATTTTAAAAATATAACAATGGTAATAAAGAAGTTTTTTCTAAAAAAATAATGTAATAACTTATAATACATATTAAAAATATTAAAGTAATTATTACTACTATTAATAAAATATTAAAATATCTAAAAAGAAATATAAATAATAATTAATAAAGATATAAATAAAAATAAAAAATTAATAAATATATATAATAATATTTTTTTTTACAAAAATATAAATAAATTTGAATAATTAAAAATTATTACTACAATTATTGAAATATAAACATAATAAAATAATAATAATTAATGGAAATATGAATAAAATAATATATAACAAAATTTTATGATATTTATAAAAAGCTAATTAGTATGTAAATGCTTATGAATAATATATTGTAAATAAATTCAGATAGAAAGAAAAATTAATAAGTAAAAATCTCAAAAAATGTTTAAAACTTTTTATTTTTTAAAAAAAAGAAAATATAAAAAATAAGAACTATAAATATTTCTAATAAAATATTTATAAAATTTTATATAGAAGTGAAAAATACTACAAAATAATTTTAACTACAATAAAATAAAAGTTTAAATATTTTTTTTATAAATATAAAAAATATTAATATTCTAATATTTAACATTAATATAATTTAACATAAAAGTTAATGTAAAGCTTTTATAAATTTAAAAAAATATTTATAACAAGTTAATTTATTGAAAGAAAAATAAAAAAATATAATATTAATCAAAATAATTATAATAATAAGTAAAATATTTAAAAAGAAAAATATATATTAATAGAACTGCATGAAAATAAATAAATATATATTTTTTAAAAAACATATAAAAATTGATATTAATTTGTAAAATCGTAGAAAAATTTAAAATTAGAATATATATATATTTAAAATATATAAAAATATGTAATAAAAGTATATAAAAAATTTATAATAATTAGTAAAATTAATAATAATTTAAAAATAATAATAAAATATAAAAAAATAAATCTTAAGTAAAATGTTATGGAAAAAGAGTAACAGTTAATTAAATAAGAATAAATTTATATATAGAAATTTAAAATAAAAAATAATTATTACTAAAATTATATGAAATGTTAATTATAATAATAAAAATATAGAAAAAAGTAATATATACCAAAATTTATAATAATTAAGATATATATATAAAAATAAACTGAATATAATGAATAAGCTAATAATACTTTTTAAAAATAAATATAATGATAAGCTATGGAAAAAAAAGTAATAAAGAATTATACCCTTTTTCTATTCTTTAACCAAATAACGATAACTTTTGAATTGTTTATTATTGTTTTATGTAAACTTTTGCATTTATATTTATTTGAAACTTTTTATTCTACAGAAAACTTTTCATATTATTATTATTATTACTATTATTATAAGAAAGAGAGAACTAATAGAATGAAAGCAGAAGTAAATTCTCATCAATCTGCAGAAGCGTTAAGCGGAACTTCCGATGAAGAGACCAGTAAGAAGCCTAGAAAACTGCTGGCGTATGTGAACGGGAGAATGTGTGTTGACGGGCATCTTATTGGTTTATTATTTGTCATAACTTATAACCATTAATTATTTTACCAATAATATCAGAAGAAACGGAAAAAAAAGATATCGAGGCCCTTAAAGAAGAGTCGCATGCGTCTCTTCACTGCACACGTGACTTGTCTTTGCCATACACCTTTGACGTTCCGGCTGACCTTTCCACTTGGTTGACTTCTGTCCAAGTGAGTCTGCCTATGATAATTTTTGATCGGTTTATTTTATTTTGGCGTGTTCCAGTGCTATGCGGAGTCGGAAATTCTTACAGTGGTCACTCGGACCATCGCATGCCATCACCAATCGTTGCATCCGAATAACACTGATAAACTGAAAGTTATTATTATCAATATTTTTTAAGGAGTCCTTTAGTAACGCGTGTCTCCTGACTTTAGACATTTTTTAAAGTTCTTTTTGGGTACTTTGGCCACCTGGTCAAGGCGGGCAGGTTTACGCTAGTGGACAGCCTGACACCTGTAATTTGCGAGCTTTCGCATAAAGCGGGAGACATGCCCGTGCAGGTGGCGCAGGCTCTTTTGAAGCGTGTTAATGATTACTTAAATAAGCGATTGTCTGCAAAAAAAAGCGCGTTCTTTTTTTATCGCTCTTTTTATTGTGACTCACCCGGGCTATCTCCGCAGGATCGTCTTCCACGTGTTTATCCGCCACACATTTGATATACCTACGCGTAGTTTCCCTGATGTTCCCTACTTCGGACTTCCGTCATTGCGTGACTACACCAGCTTTACTTCTGATTGGTCGGATGCTCACTTGGGCGCCATATGCGAGTCCGTCCGACATCGTGAAGGGGCTTTTCCTATCCGATTTGCAGTACCAGTACGTCGCCACCGCTAAGAGATATTGTCCGGAAGGTTTTTTTGCTTCGTTCCCTCGTAGCACCTGTCCGTTACTAATGTTAATCTTACCAGCCTTAAATTTTTTGTCCGCCGTTCTCCACCGCTTTAACAGAGCCAACTCGGACTCTCCCGCTCTAAGCATAATGAACTTCTTTTCACAGGTGCAGACTTCCGCGTTCTGCTATAAACTTCACTGACATTTTGCAGACCTCACCGCTAATAGGCGATCTCCGCTGGTTTCGATTAGAGGAGCCAACCACTTTCTCTGGGCTCCAAGTGCGCGGCGCTCTTCCCCTTTCTTATCTCTGCGCACTACCACATGCTACCGACGACTTTAAGTGCATGCTCACCTGTGTTTTTTCGCACTACTTTTTGGCTTATTTATTTTTTCATGTGCAGGTTAACGGTGTTATTTTCTGTTGTGTTTCTGGCGCGGCGCTTTTGCTTGCTATATTCTTATATCAAGTCTTTTGATTCGCTCGTCTCTCCGCTTTTTTGCCAATTAACCCTCACGACACTGTTACCTTTGCCCAGTAGCTTAAAGGTTCAATGCTTACAATCTTTTCTTATTGGTTGTTCGCTTCGGTGCTACAATTTTTTTAAGGAACTGATCGACGATACGCTTAATATTATTGATGAGCACGTAAGTAAGCTACTCAGTTCTCGAGCTCACATGGCCCTTCAGCGGCACAAAGCAGTCCCCATAAAAACATACGCGCCCAAAATTGATATGGCGTTCGTTTTTTATTAATAATAATATTATTTTTATAACAAAATTTGGTTCTACTTTTTGTATATAACTTTTTTATTTCAAAGTTATCAGTTAACCGAAAGTAACAAGCAAAAGAAAAATAACAGGAAGTTATTGCAGCAGTTTAAAAGAGAAAAGAAGGCATATTATTATAATTTAATATTATTATTACTATTATCATGTTAAACAAGGGTGCTATGCGTGAGTTACGGAGAGATTCCGCTTTTATTAGCAAGCAAAAGTGGTTTGAAACAAAAGAACAAGACGCTGAGCGTAATAAAAAAGTGAAAACTTTAATGGGCCAATTAGCGGAGCAGCAAGCAGAAAAGAATAAAATTGAAAGAGAGAAAAAGAAATTAAAAAGCAAAATTTAATAAATTTTAATAAAATGAAAATTTTTTTATACTTAGAAAAAGTTTTTTTGGATCCGCTTAATTTGAAGAAATATTAAAACTGCTGTAATAAAATTTTTTTTTGTTGACGGTTTTGCGTTTTGTTAATGCAAGAAAATAAAAAGTAATGAAAGTTTTAAAAGCTTTATTTTTTTTCCAAAAGGTTTTAGTCGTAAAATGGATTAAAAAATTTTATATGTACTTTTAATTGTTAAAATCTAGTTTTTTATAAAAACGTGCCTCAAACAAAAATTTGCGATCCTTTATGCTTAATATGATTTTGGTTACAAATTCTTTTTAGAAGTACTATCTATAGCATAAAAAATCTATATAATCAGTGTAAAAAATGGCAATGGCCAATGAATTTACTTTCATTCCAGTCCTGTATGATAGAAATTGACTCGAATTATAATATAAATTTACGTCAACTATAAGAAGTTTGTTCTATTACTTAATTTATATCTGGCCAAAGTTTTAAATATTTATTCTAACCTTTAAATTTAATCAGGATTTTTAAAAATTACATTTGTTTTAATTTGTAGCACAGCCAACACTTTGTATTGAATGTTTGTTACTAAATTTTAGAATTTCTTGAGTAAATTTCTAGTTCTCTGTAATTTAAACGATCAACCGTCGTGCTAACAGACGTAAAATCCTAGAGGAACTTTTTTTTTTGAGTTGCTAAACTACGCCAAATTTCAAAGAACAATTTAGAGATAACTGAAAGAAATTCGCTTTTTAAATATATATAACAGGCCATATGAAGAGTTATAAAAGCGGTATGGTTTATTAAAAATTACAAAGACAACGTTTAAATATATATAAATAATAATTTTCTTTTTCGGGAATTGTAGCACGACTAAAGTTGATATTGATATTAAAAATCTTTAGTGATTAAGAAAGATGGAAAGTGTTTAACAGCTTTCATTAATATTTTTAAAAGTTAACAGAACTTAATTTACCTTACAAACCCGTTCTTTTATATTTCGCGCAAGAGACCCGCACTTTTTATAATATATAATATATATACTAGTAAATAGCACAGTTATATTGTTCTCTTAACAATAGAATTACAGAACTCTAAAAGATGATACTAATTTTAAAGAGAGCTTGGATAGTAGTACAAAATAATTTGGATGGAAACCTTAAAAACTTATCAAATTTTGCTAAAAAACAAGTCAGGCTGGAACAGAGTAAATCTGTACTAAAGTCGAGCAAAGTTTTTAGTTTTCTACAGCAAATCGCAATATTCTCTTGTTAACAAAAGGCTCTTAAATAAAATTTTATAGTATTTTTTCTTAAAATTAGTACAAGTTATTTAGAATTTTTTTTGCTGTGTGTTTTATGATAACTTAGTAATTTAAATAAATGGTTTTGTGTTTTTATATAATTTTTTTTCTATGAAAAGGTCCTTACGGTCTCCAGTCTTTTACTTTAAAATGGTTTTTTCTTGCGTTCACCCACTAAAGAAAACTATTAGCAAAGAAATATACGTACTAAATGAGGAAAGTAATAGATGTAAAATTATTTAAATAATTTTGGATGGCGCTAAGTTGGTTAAACAAATCCTTTGCTTCACTAAATTTTAATCTCATTTCTGTTTGATAAACTTTATACTGCAAATGTTTCAGACATTCAGCAGACAAATTTTTGAATTTTCTACTAAAAATAACTTTCATAAAAAATGCTCTACAATAAAGTTTTTCGAGTATTTTTTTTTATAAATTAATAATAAAAAAACTTTATATTTATTAATTTAAGCAAAGTAAATCCAAGCGCGGAAACTAATTTTTCATTTTACTTTTCATGGAAGTATTGCGGAAGTTTATACGTAAAAGCTAACAATCCTATAAAAATATACAAAATAAATAAATTACTAAAAATAGAATTTAATATTAAATCAATTCGTAATTTTTTAATTAATTAAAAAGAAATTTGAAAGTAATTTAATAAGAAATATAATTAATGTTTTTTTAATAAAGATATATGCTTTGTTAAACATATATATAAACATTTTTAAAGCAATTTATTTATAAAAAAAACTTTAAATTATTAAAAGGATTCACCATAATTTTATATAAATTAAAAATAATCTAAAAAATGTATAAAAAAAACTTTTTTTAACGCCATTATTAATATTAAAGAATCAACATATAACAGAAATGATGTTCAAAAATTTTAATATAAACTTGAAAAACTGAAAAATTATGAAAAAACACATTTTTTATAGCTACTCTAAATAGAAAAAATAAATTATTGGTATTAAAAAGAATTACTAAATAAAATAAACTATAAACATATATAATTTTTTCAAATTACCGACAGCTCTGGCTTTCCTGATCGCTTTAGCTAATTTTCTCTGGCTCGCCCTGCAAGTGCCTATATAAAAAAAAATAGTATTAATTATAATAATTTACTTTAAAGCTAATTAAGCAATTAACCACGACTACATGATTGTATATAAATTATGAATTGTAACAACGAATAAGCTCTTTAACAGTAAAATTTCCAAGTATTTATTAATATAGAATATTAAAAAATATAAATTTTTAATAAAAAAAACTATATAGAATAAAACAGATTAACCTGTCACTGAACTAGGCAGGATCCTTCCAGAAGCGTCGGATAAAAATTGTGAAAGTAATCTTCCATCCTTTTATTAAATTTTATAATAAAACTCAAAGGTTAAAATTTATTATTACCAATTAAGGAAAAACTTTACCTTGTAATCTATGATTATGTTATTAGGACATATCGGGCAAACTTTTTTCTTTTTATAAATGGCTTGATAACGCCCCCTCTAGAAGTAATAAGACAATATTACTATTCAATATTAATAATTCGTAAGGTAAATATTATAATAAAATTAATAATTCTTAAAGTATAATATAATAGTTAATGATCTTCACATAGACTTGGGATAAATCATTTTTATAATAAGCGCTTGAAGGTCTTGCCAATACGGAGTATACTAATAATAATTTACAAAAAGAATAAATATAATTATTTAAAGAAATTAAAATTGTACCACTAAAGCCAACATTTTTGTTAAGTAAAGTAATGTTAAAGAAAGATGGGACTTTAGAGATACCAAACATAATAATATTTATTTAAACTATTGAAAATGAGCCCTTTACTATTTTTCATTTACTTCAAAATCAAGTTTTAGAAATTAAAAAAAGGTTAAACATGTAAACTGCACGAGAGCAAGTGGGGGTAAATGTTGTATCGGGTTAGCATCTGTATTTGCATGCCTTTTATTTTTATTTTTTTAATTTCTTTCTTCTTCTCTTCTTTCTACGTCTTACTTAGTTAAATGTCATAAAAGAAGATAACAAGTAGTCTCCAGTTTATGAACTTATGCAAGTTATTAAAACTTAAGTCGGCATACTCAACATTATAAGGAGAGAGTGCTGTCATTACTTATCTTAATTTAAAGCTGTTTTATGAGCTCTATTAAGTAATGCAACATTATGAAAAAGGCATATGCAGTAATAACTTGTGAATAACAAAGTATTTGAAGACGTACATCTTAGGGTAATTATAAAATTTTGAAGTTTGGGTATTTGAAATGATAAGAACGTAGAAAGAATCTTATCCCATTTATACTCTTATTTTAAGTAAAATAAGGCCTGGAAAGCGTGTGAACGAATAGAAATATGCAACACTTTATTCTTGTGGTCATCAAATTTAATTGAACTTAGAAACGGAAGTTATATTTTTTTTTTTAAAAATCTTAAAAAACCGTTTTAAGATTATTCGCTTGATAAACAGCTTTTTTGTTTAGGCAAACTACTCGGTTGTTTTTCCCGACTTTTATTAAGGTTTATTAAGAATACATTTATTCTCTGTTTTCTGAATTGGTTTGATATCCGCCTTAATTTATTGTTGCCCTAGTAAGTTATATGTGTAAGGGTGCTTTGTAATGGTAGCCGTTTTGGGACGTTAACTTTGTGGCCTTCGAGTAGAGTTCTTTAGGGATTAACATTTCTGGTCCTTCAAAGTTAACTATCCACCTTCATCCAGACTTTCCTACAAATAATAAATTGAATAAAAACTAAAAACAGAGTTGCTTTGCTTTAATCTAGTAATTTTATAATATATATTTTGTCGAAAAGTCCGTTTATTGTGTGGATTATATATTAATTTCGCTATAAATGGTAGTATCTGTGTCTACTATGAAATCATAAAAGTCGAAATAACTCTTGTTCGTATGTTGGGTGTGTGTCCGTTGCGTTTCGTTGTGCTAAAAGTGATCATCAGTTTGATCTATCATTTTCGCGTAAAATCTATGTAGGCCTGCTTATTGCTTTTGCAGGCTCCTCGATGAGACCTAATTTATGGAAATAAGTACTGTATAGACGTTTGAAAGTAGCATATTACGTGACTGTACCCCTCATGGGATGCTAATGCTCGATATTAAAAGTGTTTAAGCAAGTAGGTAACTTGTGAGTTGGACCTCATTACTACACTCTGCATACTAATTACATATATTCTATTTATGGCATGAAATAAAAGGCTGAAATCCTATTCATAGTTTATATTCCTCTCAGAAAAGTGTGGTTCTAAAGAATTGTCTTTTTATTTACCGCTTCTGTATATGACTAGAATCTTCTATGGCTCTGTGAGGATACTAATGTGGCGTTCGATAAATATAACATGTTCTTCTATCATATTGCCGATATATGCTCTATTCTGTAGCACGTTGTCAAAACTTTTGTGCTTTACGCGAGGTGCGTTGCACATTTTTCGCACTTGGCCCTGAAAGTTATTAGCCTTTTTTTCTAATCAAAAACAGCTATAAAATTTTGTATCAAGGCCTCCTCTTTGATAAGTCTAGCTTTTGAGTTTTCGCTCGATTAAAGCAGCTTTTAATTGTATCTATGAACTTTGTTTTCTATTGTGCAGTAGGCTAACACCTTTCTACCTAAAATGGGTTTTTATTTTTATTAGTCAAGTATAGGTATAAAGGTAACTACAATTCGTTAACCTCAGTAGCATTTAGTTTTTCAGGAAGAAAAACTTTAGGAAGAAAACCTTTAAGAGTTATACAACAATAATTTATAATGAAAACTTGCACCACGCTGTGACCACAGAATTATATAATAACTGCCTCTGTTGTATATGGCAAGCTTACCAAGTTTTTACCTTTTATGTGCTATGTGCGTTTTAATAGACTTTAATGGAAACCACCGATAAACGCGAGTTCAATTAAAAGGTAAATATGAAGGTTGCGTGTACATAACACTTGAAACCACCGACCATATATAAATGTTTATATGAGCGAGCGATTATGGTTCTTATTAAACGGTCCTATTCAACACGAGGCAGTTTTAATAGGAACTAGCTCGAGTAGGAAACATAGTGGACCTATGGGCCATGAGCCTACTACGAGAAGCACAAAAGAGAAACATAACTTTTATCCCTTTTTTCGGTCTAATTTTGGTAGAATATTATAATGAGCTATCATTCTAGATGCTTAGTTCGTTACTTTGTTTTATTAAAGTAGAACTTTATAAAAAAATTGCTTTAGTTTAGTGAAAAAACTCTACTCCTTCACAGTAACGTCAGTGGTTCGATTTCATACTTAAGTCATAGCAGCCTAGGGAACAAGTACTTAAGTTCTGAGCGTTCCCTTCCCCCTTAGGTCGCTAATTAACTTTTTAGCCAAGGCCTCTAAGTGAAGCCTCCTATATCGTTATTATCTAGTACACCGAAGCCCTAAGTTTATTCAAGTTCATTGAGGTAGTATTCTTTTTGTATAGAATGTGTCTACATTTCTATCAACTTCTAACAGATTTTAAATTTTTTTATATATTTTATATTTTATATTTGTTTTGAATATATTTATATATTTAATTATTTTTATATTTTTATATTTTTATATTATTTAATCAGTATTTCTATATTTTAATAATTCAAACACTTTGATTTATTTTTTATGCCATTTTTACCTAGGCAGTGCACTATTTTGACCTTTAACCGGTCATTTTTTCGTAATTAAGATGCTTAAACGCACCATATAAGAGATATGAACTTAGCCCCTTTCTCGATGCTCGCGCCCGTGCCGACGCTAGGTGTTTTTTTTATCTTTCTTGAGCGCTTGTTTGCTGTGCTATGACTGCTGCGATTAAGTCCTGTTTGGGACACTTCCTTGCTTAACCAGGCAACTGCAGTTAGGGCTTTTAGTGGGAGCGTTGAACACGACCGTTAGCCATTCTTCGGCTAGTGCCCAGCATTGTGCACTCCTCATGAACGTAAGAATCCCCGTTCCATCCCCAGGTTTCCCGTCGTACAAGCGGCAGAAAAAGGTCGGCCCTATATAAAAAAATGGCGCCCAACTTCGGTGGTAGTCCTGGCGGTTCAGATGGTTTCGATCTATAGAAGTCAATATGTTTCCATCCTAAGGTGGAACAGCGTGCAAACTTCGGACTATCAGTCGACGGGTCATGTTACTCTCTACTATTAGGTAGTGCCATGATTGATATTCCAGTAAGTTCTCTGTTTGGTTAACTTTTACTAAACATCCGTAAAATAACGTATTTACTTAGATATTAATATCTTCTGAGTAGTCGATGTAATTCATTGCAGAGTTCTACTCCTAGTTTCCTTTTATTATACGTAATTAAGGCTCTATATTTATATCGTAAGAAAAATAGGGAGTGTGGTATAAATTAACCTAATAAATAAAAATTAAAATGATTAAAAACATTGGATCTTTAAAAAATATTTAACTTTATATAATTTTAACTCATTGTTCCTATAATATACAAAGTCCTTTACATTATAGTTGTACGAAAAAAATTTGTCAGGTCCATCCCTAGAACTTTATTTTTTAACTTAATAAATGAATACAACACTATACGCTCTACAATTGAAGTAAATGCTCAGAAATGATTGGTTTAATTTGAAAGCAAAGGAACTTAAAACGAGGCTTAAGCCATTTTGTAATTCCTATAATCGCAGGTGGTGTCTATAAAAGCGTATATATATGTATACCCGAGGTAGGATTAAATATGTAAATAAATTTATTAGACAAATTATATATATACACGGTAACTAGACTATCCCTCTATACCATAACATGTTCCACGCAGGAAACAAATAGCATAGAAAATTAAATCCCCTCCTACGAGGGTGTGCTGCCTCTATCTGTTATGCAGGGGATGCTAATTAATGGACACACGTGGCTAACAATTCTACAAAATTTAAGCTAAAGCACTTCACAATTTTATCTTTTTAAGGACCATTATTAATTATACCTTTAAGGCAGTATTTAATATTCTAATATAAGGGCCTACTTCGTCGCCTAACATCATCAGTAATACCACTCATCTACGTTGGACTTAGCCAAAGTATGGATTCCGAATATTTTTGTAGTGGAAGTCACCTACCCAAAGAGTTGCTAGGAGCGCTCTTATTACTTTTGAACAGAAGAAGATTGCAAGATAGAAACTTGAGTTGTGTTTAATAGGGGTTAGATAAAAAGGTACTTAAAATAGATGCCCTAAAAGCGTATTAAACAATTGAAAAATAATGCAGTTTAGGTTCTCTTTTTGTCTACTTAAGTTAAGCAAATGAAATAAAACTTTTTATTCATACAATAGAAAAGAATTTTAAAAACTGGAAAATCTCCTGGTAAAATACAATATAAAGTATTTAAGGGCCCTTTTTTCTGGCTTTCGCTTATCGATATCGCTTAGGTTTTTTTGATAAAATAAAATACCGGCATGCGCTCAGCAACGTGATCAGTCAAAAAAATTACGATAAACCAATATTTAGTGGTGCTTACAGACAAAAAAATAGTTTAATAATACTGAGAGAAGAATTAATTGAGAAGAGAAGTGCTGTAACATATACTTAATAAAGAAAAATATATTTTAATAACGTTAAAAACTCTCAAAACGATGTTAACTAAGTCATTACCTCTCGTACCTTCAGACAAAGTGGTAATGGAGATGGGTTAGAAGAAAATAAGTATAACCTCAATAGCTCTAATAATAAAAACTATATAATTAATAACGCTAATGTAAATATTGTCAGCAAGCATTACAATGAAAAAAATAATTAAATTGATTGTATTCATATCTCTCTGAAAAAGAATAATATTAGTGACTGCAATGTTTGCTATAGATTTAAAAAAAAAATTATTTTTATATAATATATAACACGAATAATAGCGAAAAACGATTTTTCATAAGCACTACAATTATATTAATGACTTGATAATGAAAGTAACTATGTGGTTATCTCCTTCACTAACAGTGAGGTTAATGAGATATATGTTAGTAACGAAAGTAATGAAATCGAGAACGTTACAAATATTACCATAATAAAGTTTATAAAGAAGCTTATGCTAGCCTTTTCGTTAACAATGAAAACAATGACTGCAATGTTAGGTGACCACTGTTATAAAAGTAGTTATCATATTATAAGCAACACAAATATAATGAAAACGATATAAATACCTCCATCATAAGATTATGGAATTGAATAAAGTAGCATCCCCTTTAGTAGTGAAAGTGACAACAACACTGTTAAAGAGAGTTACAATAGGGCCCTAAAAACAGGAATATTGCTAATAAAATAAAAAGTAGCTATAGCGATGTATACAACTCCAGTAATGAAGGTATTAATAGCAACTATAATACTGATAACGAAAATTATCTTTTTACTGAGTACAGCTCAATATATACAAATGACCTTAATACAACTTCAGTAATTATAATTAAGATAACGATGTATATAAAATCCAAAACAAAAATCAAAGTAAGAGTGCGAACTACAACAACGAAAATATAATTAACGAAAACAAAAATACAGGCAGCAAAGGCAAACGTAACACATATGAGTTTTAGCAATAAACATTATGGTAAAACCAACTATTGAACTATACTCGCAAATGCAATTGGGATAAAGATACTGGGTATACTAAGCTATCCGAAAACGTCAAATCCAAAGGAACTTCTTTAAGTGAATACTTAATAATGATCCACACCTTCGGGAGTCTTCAAGTGTTTTCCTTTAATAAAAATTTTCTCTGCATGAAACCTCATGGAAATTTACGCCTGTAATATAACATAAAGGGCAGCACAAAAGTAACCAAAATTAGCGTAATAAAAACACTGAAACTTAATAATTAGTAAGGCTTAAGACTATAAGAAAAGATAAGCAGTAAATATAAAAAAGAAAAAGCAGAGGATTAAAGCAGTACAGTTAAAGCACAATTCCGTAATTTTTTGTAAATCCTCAGGGCCTTCACATATCGTTTGATTATCTTGTTCACCCAAGAAAAATTTCGCTCACCATTTTGATCTTTCCATTTCACGAGAAAAGACGACCTTCACCTAAATAATTTGTTTCTAGAATTTTAAAACAGAACCTTCAGAAATTTCGTTGCCATCGTTAAGTTGGTTTGAAAGGCACTAGCGTAAAATAAATGCATTAAAAGGGGCAACCCAGCTGGAAAGCCAAAGGATTATTTTACTTTAACTTGAAACGGGCCTATAACTTTATGATCTGGTTTACTACTAGGTCTTAGGGTTTAATTGTTGCGGTAAATAATTAAAACCAAGTCTTTCGCTTTAATTAAGACATGTCTTTTCCTTATTGTAGTGGTAACTGTTATTTACTTGAGTCCTCATGAGATTAGAGCGTAGGTTATCGTGGAGCTCTTTAAGCTTGATTACTCTCTTGTCAGCTAGGGTAATTGTCAAATGATTCAAGATAAGCGGGTAAAATCGTAAGTTAAAGCCATATAAATTATAAATTGAAGTCAACTTAGTAGGTGCGTTAAATTGGACCAATATAAATTTCGCGAATCATTTTGATGGAGATAGATTACCGAAAATCTTAGGTATTATTCCAATTTTTAGTTTACCATCTCTGTAGAGTCATTGAATTCTGGGTAGGTACACCTTATGTTCCCATAGCTTAAAAAAATGTATTTTCGAAGGTAAACGCGGACTGGGGTCTCCCACCAGAAACAATACTTTCAGGGGGCTCATTATAATAAAAAACGTCTAAAAAAATGGTTAGCTGCCTCCATCCAGCTAATAAATCTAAAGACTGAAATAAAACACATTTTGGCCTGTCGACCTTCACCGCGGTAAGGAGTCGAACTTCTGAGTTGGGAAGAAGCCAGTTATTAATCTGTGGACAGTTTTTAAAAATTACTCGAAACAGGTAAAGAGTGCGGCGGATCTTGTGGTGTACCTCGTTCTTTTACCCCGGCAGGTAACACCTAAATCAATAATTCGCTAAACCAAAAGAAGCCCCGTTTACTCAGTTTTAGTTTTTATAAAGCAAGGAATTCGTCTCTTTAGTTAACATAAGCATCTGAAGCTTTTTAGTGGGTAAAACATCATTTACGTAAAAACCCATCTTTAATTGTTAACAGGTTTATTGTGCTTATTTAAACTTACAAGTTGTTTTTTAAGTTTTTTTTTAAGGAATGAGAGACAGGCATACTATTTAGCAAAGCATTTTCAATAATATAATTTCATGATTTTTATTGTCTAAAGAAGGGAACTCCAAAAACAACGTAAAGTTTAAAAATTTTGAGGACGGTAAATGGAGTACAATTTCTTTTTTAGGCGTATGAGTTTACCAAATTGGCGTGATTATAGGCCATAGTTTATTAATAAAATTTTCACCCATGCTTATATTTAAAATCTGTATAGAAAATTTATTTTTTGATAAGCTTTAGCAAACGGAGGTAAACAACAAAAACCAACCGCCTCATATTCTGCTTCACAAGGAATATTTTTTATTATCAATTAATAAAATTAGTCCTGGTTATGTATAAGGCTGCAAAGCTTCGTGTACGAAATATATGTACACCTTTCAAGTTATATAACACTAATTAAATAGTATTCAGAACATTGTGCCTTTCAAAGTGCTTTAGAAACGTTTAAATATCAGCATTATTCGCCTATAAAATAAATAATTACCATGGCCGTCCTCAGATCACTAAATTAGAAAAACGAGAATTTTTTTTATGTTTCAATTATGTATATTGTTACTATGTGGATAAGTGTTTTCTTTATATTACTACCTAAAAGTAAAAACAGTTTACACTGGGGGCACAGCTATCCCGAGCCATAACTCAATAAATTACAGAAACCAGCCCCTTAAGGGGCCTCTCTACGCATTTAAAACTGAACTGGCTAGCAGACGGTGGATGTTATTAGAATTTACAAAGACGGGCGAGGTCAATACGCAATCCGGCAAAGGAAGAGAGAGAGTCGCGTGAGTTGAGAACGAACTCACGGCCCAAGTTTACGCGATTATGCCCTTTTAACCGCTGAGCTCTGCCCACAACTCACAATTCCTGTATGATTAACACACTTGATCTGTTAGATGGCGTAGAGGGCGTTGAATTTGCGTAAAAAAAAGGCGCCAAGCAAGTTTATAAGACGTGCAACGGCTTGTTTTACGATTTGGGGAAGACAACTTTTTCTAGGTGTTTTAATCATGCATACAGCTGATGCATCGTTATTGTAGAGTGAATGCACACTTCATAGTGCCTCCGCGGAAGCTTGTTGACTACGAAGCTTTTTAAACTAAGTGACTACGGGGATTGAAAGTGGTCGCTATGCCAAGCGGTTAAAAGCATCGTGCATTTGATTCCTGGCCGGCACGAATCTTTTTTTGCTTTTAATGGTTGCGTATTTCGGCTCGACCTCGTAAATTCCGATAGACCCGAGTTAAAATTTGATAGGAAGGTAATATAAGGCATTGGAGATTGCTGCTTTACCGAATACAGTCTCGAGGCCAAACCGCGAAGTTGCTGAAAGCTAAATTCTTCTTAGAGAATGTGCGTATGCATCTTTAAACTTCCATCCGTTTTTTTTTCAGTTTAAGAAAGTCGGATGAGGTGAAGCGTATGCAAGTTAACAACTAGAGCTTACTAACCGCTAGATTGCAATGAATATAAGCTCTTTAACTTGATTACGATAGAAAACCAAAGTTTCGATAAGTTTTTTTGCTTTTACGATGTTGAAATTACACTTATAAAAACCTGCATGCTAAATTTAATAAAAGGTGGTTACCGGGCTTTCTTACTAGCAAATAGCTGAATTAAAAATAGTTATTTCCAAGTACACCGAAAAAATAGTTTCTTTTATCACAATAAGTCAAAATAAAATTTTTAGTTTCTCTGCGAAACTAACGCTGGTAGGTTCCTATTCCATTCGAGCATTACTACCAAGCGGCCTTCGGAATGCCACAAGTGAGGAAAGTCGAAAACAAACTCATGGATGGCGGAAAAGACCTCAAAGTCCCTTAAAGCAAACATAAAGTTTCGTATAAAACCTACGAATCTTTTATAAAAGTGTTTTCAATAATTATTTTTAAAATTTTAAGTTATTTTTTTTTTAAGATTATCAAAAACTGCAATGTACATTGTTAATATTGTATGCAGTGGCAACCAAAAAAAACTATTGCCACTGTTTAAAAATATTAGATAACATTCGGCTTACCCTTCGTTGTTCTCTTGTTTAACTGCGTTGGCTATCTCTGCTTTTACTTTTGCGAGCGAAGAAGGCTGGTAAAATGTATTCGTTTTATCAGCGGGCGACCACTTTTCTTAGCACTACTATTGTTTCTCTTGTGATCTTGCTTAGCTTATGCTACTGCAGGTTTAGCTTGTTGTAATTTAAAGTTTTTCTATTTTAATAATAGTCCTTTCTAGCACTTTTTTTCTGGTAAAAGAAAGGCCACAAGTTGAGATTAACTTTTCACAAATAGGTCATATTTATGTTCAAATATTACTGTATAGTTTTTAATGTAGACTTTTAGAATTATTAAGAGCCCGTGAAACTAGGAATTCTCCGTTTTCACAACTTGTCAAAGGTAGCTATGACTTGACTATGAACTTTACGCCGTTATTCGACTGGTACACTAAGCAAATTTTTGCTTATCTAGTTGTGGAGTATCCCTCCGATAAGAATAGGTTTGCTATTGTATTATATTTATTTTATATTTATTTAAAAATAAACTTATCACTAATATGCTTGCTACTTATAGAGGATGCTTTTTTAACTTAAAAAAACTTTATTTTAGTTATTTCAAAAGGTTTTTTGTTTTATATTTAACTGTATAAGTAACTTATAAGATTTCTTCTACTTTGGTTTTATAATAAAATTGTGAAATAAAAGGTAATAAACTTTAGGTTTTTTGTTAAATTTTTTATTTATCCTTTCTCAAATTATTTGTTTAAAAACTATATCCCTTATTCGTAATAAGATTTAGTTATATACATTTTTTAACACTAAGCACTGACAGATGGATTTTACTTTTATTTTTAAATTTAAACGCTGTTACCTTAATTATCACTCATGAATTTCTCTCAATCTTTTCATAAAACTATTTGCCCAACACTATAAGAATTATATATAATCCATAAAAAAATTATATTTAATAATATAATTATTTCTTTAATAAGGGAAAAAAACTTTTAAGATCAATACTACAACTAGTAATTATTCATTTTTTGTTACATTGAATTTCTTTTTTAAAATTTTTTTTTTATGCAATTAGTTACGTCAAATTATTTTTAATTTTGAGACAGTTGAGAATTACTTTTAATATTTTTTCTCCACTATGTAAATTTTACATAAAAAGATTCAATCAAATTGTGATCTGGGATAAGATTGTAACTCGAGGGGGGGATTATAAGCTTGACGTAAAAAGCCTTCCAGGTTCTTGTCTTGAACCTTATTTTTTCATATTGATGATAATACAGTAAAAGAAAAACTTCATAGAAATCATAAGTACTGCTTTAGAAATTTGTAAGTTATAAATGATTTAGAGAAAAACGTGCACTTTTAAATCTGTGATTTCATAAAGTTTATGATTCTAACATTAATTTTTTTATTTGGTAAATATATAAAGAAAGGTGTCCTCTTCTTGGCAGAATTTTACTTGTTTTGAACTATTTAATTATTAAGCCTATTTACTTTATAGACTACAACTTTATAATTTAGTTGCTATATCGTTTTTTTATAAATTTGAAAAGCATTTTATTAACTATAGAGAAGTATCCGCTAATTGATGATGGAATGGGGATGGCCATGAACAACAACGTCACTCTTACACTTTACTGGGAATGGCAGCCCTACGCTGGCCCTCTTCACTATGATGGTCTCAGTTTTACTAATCATCTTTATATAAGTAGTAAAATTAATACAATTAAAGCTTACAGTTATTTACAAAGTTTACTTTTAATTTTTATTTTAAGCTATTTTAAGAAACAATTTTTTAAAAAAATTGATAAAATTATAGGCTTTTAAATTTTATTATCTCTTTCAAATTTTCATTTATGCTATAAATTTTACTTTATAACTGAGATTTATAACCTTAAACTTATTAGTTCGTGATAATTTTTTTTTTGCAATATCGGAAGATTTATTAATTAACTATAAACTATTACAGGACATTCCAAGCAGTTTATCAAGATTGGAAATATAAACTAATTGTAGATGTGGATTGATTTAATAAATTATTTTATACCTTTTTGATTTATGTTACATAAAAAGAGTAACAGTTATAAAATTTAATAAAAGTATATTTATTAGCTTTTTAACTATATTTTTTAAATTGGGTCGTTTATTCAGTTTGAGTGATAATTGTGTTTTTTGCTACCCTCTTACCTAAGTTGTGTAAAAATAAGAGTATATAAGTTAACTCTTTCTAAAAACATTAATGGCAGACGCTACTGATAACCGTTAAAAACAGCTCACGTGTTTATAAAAACTACTTTTTTAGTAGTCACCTGAAAGTATAGCGATGCGTAAAAGAGAGAAATAATATTTAAAAAAATAACTTTGAGTAGATCCGTACTAAAGACTTAACAGATATAATATCAGAAGAAAAAGATTGCGTTTTGAATTCATAAATAGACAAAGTGATAAAGAGCTACTTGCAAACTCAGACTTTTTACAGTAGCACAAGTAATGAGGTAAAGCTCAGTAAAAGACAGAAACCAGCAAAGTATAAAGTAATAAGCAAATATAAAAGTTTTTGTGATTGCATGTGCAATTTCTTACAAGAAATTGGAAAGTTCATTTCTTGAATAGCAGCAAAAAACAGCGAGGAATCTTCTTTAGGTGATAATTGCTGTTGTTTTTTGACTCTGACGGGCTATTTATTGCGATCTTCTTGCTGTTTCCAGAACTTAAGGTTTTACTTTTAAAATTATTTTGTAGTCCTTACTTTGTTCGTTAACAGGAAAATGTAAACAGTATTTGAAATATGCTCGCAAAAATACTTAGTATTGTGCTTCGGTGACACTCCTAGAAGTGTTTTCAGTCACTTCGTATACACTGAGTTTTTTTATAACGGTGATTTTTAGGTGTGACCTTACAACTGACTGCGATAACATTATTTTATAGAAGCATTAGCTGTTGAATTGAATGAATAATTTATAGTTTTACAAAAACTAGAGGTATTCGCTTGGGCCCCATTCCTATCCTTACTTCTTCAACTGGAATATTTATGTCTTCTACAACTTCGAAAGTAACACGTTCACCTAGTTCTGTTGTTAAACCCCTTATTACTATCTTAAGGCACTTATTTTCAGGTAACTCAGTCCCCACTTCTGGGCATTCCAATAGTTACATTGGGAGGTAGGTCTTAGCTTAGTACTATGGGGCGCAATTGTTTCTTTGCTAGCTTTAATACTTTTTTTTTTGAAGGTTACGTAGAGTTTCGGTCAAAAAATTTCCCTCTAAAATCGCTAAGGGACTTTACTTTTTTTTTCTTATTGTATTTTAACTGCATCTTCAAGAAAATTTTTTTTTTAAGCTCCAATATTCCGGGAAGAGGTAAAAATGTCTATTTTAGTTTTATTGCTATAATTAGTTACTTTAAGCGGAATAGATTTACAAAAACCCTATATCATCTTTAACCCTTTTTCCTCTTTTTAATAATAATTTTTCTTTATTGCATTCTCCTCTTATACTTGTATTTGCTAATTGAAGCTAATAAATCAGTTGCTAAAGTTTTATTAAGAAAACTGAGAGTCATTTTCCATATTGCGATCTATCTTCCTTAGTTAGCTATAGTTTAGATTCGGTGTTAGTTTAATACACATATACAGCTGATTACAAGATGTATTGTAACATAAACCATTTCGTAAAAAAAATAATCCAGATATTACACTCTACGCTCAAGAATACAGAGAATTTACAAATCTTTAATAACTATTAAAAATTAGTTTTAGTTGATCTATAATTAAGAACAGTTGACTTATATGCGTTCATCTTATTATATGACCAACTTTATTGGAAGGTAGTGTTTTCTTAAAACCCTTTGTTTTCAACTTATATCGCTCGATGTTATACATTCTTAATTCCTGCTCAGAACTTCAGGATTTTAATAAAGTAAGGAGGAACCAAATTGTATATAAAACTCCAAGAAAAGGTTTGCGCAGCAATTTTTAACAGCTTAGAAATAATTAATGAAATGTAGCAAAAATTATTTAAATTAAAACATTATAAGTGTTATTTACAAGCTACAAGTACTTCCATTTTTTAAAAAAACTGCTAATAGGTACTTTGAAGGTTCGACCACTATTCAGTTGACACTAAGCAAGGACAATATTTTTATACGAACAAAGAAAAAAAGCAACAACGAAACAGTTTAAAAGCTGTAGAGTTATGCCAAACAATATTAAAAAGTGCTTCTTTAAGTATTATATTGGAAAATCGCCTTATGCGTTGACCTAGGGCTGTCTTAATGAAAATATAAGAAAAAGTAGGTAATTTCCTATATTATGAAAAGCGAGAAAAAGACAGATGGGTAAAAAGGTAGTAGCCGGTTTTTTAGATCACTCTTTGGTCTAATTTTAAGCACTTAAACAAATAATTATTTTAACTGTATGAATATGTATTCAAAGGTATTTGGTGAAATGTTTTATTAAAATGATAAAGAATCCACAATTCTTGTGGGCCTTGCTTATTTTAAGTAGGCTTACTTCCTTCTCTATCCTAAGTGTAGAACCGCAATGCCTGTAAGAAAATAATAAAGATTAACTCATGAATTTTTGAAAAAGTTGAAGCTTCTCTTTCAGCGTTTTTAATTCTCATGAATCCGATGATTACATAACAAACACTAATTGTAAATAATACATAACGAATGGTTTCCAAAAATATTTCTTTTAGCAAAATCCTTTTTTTGTATCTTTAACAAATAATTTTACTTGCAAAACCAAGTAGAATTAACGGATTGGTTTATTTATTAACTTATCCTTTTGTAATACAGCTTCCTTTCTTGTTTTAGCAACTTGGTTTTTACTTAATTATTTTAATATTTACAAAAGGAAACCCGTTTTAATATTTACACTGCAATCGAACTACACAAGAATATTATGGCTAAGAAGTCTCGCTACTTTTTTCGTTGTACTTCAAAGAAGACTTAGAGGCTTTTATAGAATCTTTAAAATCTTCAAACTATTTTAAAATTAAATTATCTTAGAATTTGCTTGCTTTAAGGTAAAAACAAAAGAATGGCAACTCACCAGTTATAGAGTTGCCTAGCTTGTATGATTAACCCTCAGCAGGTTGATAAGTACCCGATGGTGCTTTTTCACAATGCTATTACCTCTGAATACTGTTGTTAACATTATATGTAAAATAAAAATAGTTTAGTAATGTTTTTATCTCATTTATACGTTCCCTCTCACATTTTAAATATTACTGACCCTGGTCTTCTGATCGGTTGGCAGTTTAAAGTGTCGAGTAATGTTGAAATCGTAACAGTCGTGGATGTCCTTCCTTATAATACCGTCAACAGTTGCTATCCCTTATTTATTAAAAAGGTCAATGCGTTTTTATGTTTTCATACTAAAAGAAGATATCATCAACGGAAAAGGTCTTGCGGTAGTTTTAGTGGCGCCCTCCCTGAATTTTTTCAGGAACAGAAAAGCGCTTCTGCTTTTAAGATAACTAAAGAGTCTCTCCAGCACTGCGAATCTACGCAATATCAGTGGTGCCTTCAGCAAAGTCTTTCTTTTGGGTATATCTTTCACCACCGTTGTTAAAAAATTATGTTATATAAATTTTTTTTTATTTTTGCTCTACGATTTAGTGGTATGTTAAATGTACTCGGTGTAATAAACGTAGATGAATCACTTGCATCTGCAGGCTTTATAAGGTTGAGAAAAACTTGGTATGCAATAAAAACTTTCCCGGAATCTCCTTTAATAATAAGGTTCAAATTGTTAGATTCTTTGGCCTATAATTTACTTTAAAAAGCCTTTAGAAGTTATAATGAGGAAAACGAACTAGTCAATGATGTTGTTATTACTTTATTCATTTATGACCCGTCAGATTCTTGGAATTCTTGCGGCGTACTGAGGTCTTTTTTATATTATTTGAGTTTGTATTAAACTAAATAATTAGATTTTACTTTTATAGTAATAATTTAAGGATCAAGAATGAAGCTGAAAGTATCGTTGCTCTAAACAAAACTGAATTGCGATTCCAATTTTTAATTTCACAGGTATTTCTTATAAATGATTTAGTAATAACTTTATTTTATTTTTATTTATCCTTTAGAGATATATAAAAATATACTAAGTTTAATTCCAGTTAGGAACTTCTTCTACCGTTTCAAAGCTACTAAAAAGTTTTAATGAAGTTCAAGAAGATTGTTTAACCGCTAATATTTATTTTCTTCACGTCAATGCGTCGAAGCCTCTCCTTTTTAATGTTTTTCAAATAATTGTAAATCGTTTTGTACTGGTTACTTCCCAATACTACCAATTTGCATACGCGCTATTGTTGCAAATTTCTGTGTTGGGTGTTCCCTTTTACTCTTTTTCCTGCTTTGGTAAATAATATAAATTTTATTTTTTTAAAACTTAATTAATATCTTGTACTTATACTGCTTGACTTTGAAAAATTAAGATTTTGAATTTGAAATAATTTATTATAGTAGTAAGTCTTTATAAAGCTATTAGATTATTTTTGTGTTATTGCTACAAATTTTTCTTTTATATTGAAATTTTTTTATATTTAACTGAATACCTTAAATCTCGATCATTTTACGAATAAGTTAATTTGGAAATATAAATATTAATTCCTGCTAAGGGCAACCGCTGCTAGTTTTTACAGTATTAATAAAGAAGTTGAATTTGTGGTTGTTTTTTACTTAATTTCAAGTATTTATAGCCTTAATAGTAACGAAGTTGCACAGTCTTTAAGTAAATTTAGAACCCTCAAGTAGTTTTAAATTTAATTACTAATTTTACACTAGAAAACAGAGTATTTAATAATTTAATTATTTAGATGCTTATATCAATAATTTAGTGAAGCGTAGATTTTTTAAAATCTCAAACTTTTGTGTGTAGTTGAACTTGTTTCTTGCTTTTCTATTTCTTTTATTGGAAATTTTACTAAATTTTTTGTTAACAACTTTTATTATGGAGTTTAGGAAAAATTTAGTAAATTTATTAATTCTATTTTCTGGCTTTCATAATTTGTAAGATTCAGATTTAATTATAATAATTGATCCAAGGCTATTTTCTTACGAAGTATTATGAAGATTTTCTCACAATTTATAACAACTATACGAGTTCGCTCCGCTCTGTGCACTACAAAGACGTTAAACGGCTTGAAAGTATTCGGTTTGTTGCTTATCAACCTTATTATAAAAAAAAAAATCTGAAATTTATAAGCAGGATATATTTTATATTTTTTGTTTTTGATTGTAATTTAATTTATTTTGGACTTGACCACGAAATTATTATTAATTGTAAAAGCTTTATTATTTTAAAGTCATCAAACTTTTAAGCACTTTTCTTTGGAATTATAATTTTTTTAAGTTTTATAACTTTACCAAAATTAATGAACATTTTAAAAAAAATTTGAGAAAGTTTTTATTTATAATTTATTATTTTTTACTTTTTCGTTGTAACCGGTATTGATTTGAACTGAAAGAAAGAAGAATATCGTGAATATAGTGATTTATACATACCCGTTTTTTAAAATATTGTTATTCACTTTTTTTTGGGATTTTAGATTCGAATATATATATATATATATCAACTGCAGTTTGCTTTGTTTTGAAAGTTACTTTAAAGTTTTCTACAGAAATTTTTTTTTATTAAACAAAGTATTTCTTTTTTCCCCCCATAGTTTAAACTTTTTGAAGTTGTGTAATATATTTTTAACATAAAATTTATTTTCTTTTAAATTTTTTCATTAGATATCAATTAGTATATAAATTTATATAAGATATTCCACACTTTATATTAATGTAGTTTTTACATTAAATTTCTCTAAGTTTTTGTTGATTATAACTTTATAGTAAATTTAAAATTTTCTTTGCTCATTAAAAAGAATTTAATATCCTTTTGCATCTTCAACGAGAATATAACACTTTTACTATTAAAAACTTTTTTAAATAGATTTTATGGCCATTTGCTGAAACAGACTTTAAATATTTTGCTTGCGGCTCTTCTTTTTTACGTTCATAGTCAGATTCTGCTCGATTTTAATTTACTGGTCGAGCACTACACCGTACTACTGATAATCTCTTTTTTAATTATTATACTTTTTTATATTTTTTATAGACTTAATGAAAGTTTTTATTAAGTTTCAAAATTCTATTTATATTTAAAATAATTTTTTTTTTACTTTAAAATTTTATTAGTTTTAATTTTTTTTATAAAAATCTTTCGTAAACTTTTCATTTTATTGAACTTTTTTTAATCTTTATTAAATTTTATAACAAAAAAAATATAATTTTTACAATCTTGTTTCCTTTATTTATTACTATTACGAGTTTTACTTTAATTTACTTTTTATATACTTTTTTGTAAAAATTTTTATATTAATGTTATTGTAGATGCAACATTTCAAAACAATTTTAAATTTACTGAATTGGCTAAAGGGGATGCCTGGTACCTGCTTCTTCCTATATAAATTTTCTATAGAAAAAGTTTAAAGTTTGAAATTAAAACTTTTTTTTTCAGTTTTGGTTTTTTTTAATTTAATGAATTTAGTAATTTTAATTTTTTTTGGTTAATTTGATTTTTACTTTTTAAAAATTTTGAATCTATTTTACACGGTTTGTAATTTTTATTTTTTAGTTCTTATTAGTTGTTTATAATTGTTTGATAACTTTTTTTAATCACGATTTCCATTTTTTTAAATTTTGATATTAATTTTGGAACGAAGTTAAATTTCTTAAATATAACAAAATTTCCTATGGGATATGAAAGTATTAAAATATTAATAACTTTTATTTCAAGTAATATATGTATTAATAGTTTAAAAGGTTAAAGATAAATTTATTTTATTATTCTATAAAATAAATAGAAAGTTTTTTATATTATATAAAAGTATAATTATATATATATTAACAACAATAATATAAGTAACAAATAAAAAAAAATTTATAATATAGTTTTAAGTTTAAATTTATACTACTTTTTATAATGAAACCAATTTTTTCGTTGCTGGCTTTACATTTTTTTTCGTTTTTAATTTAAAGCGAATTCCAATCTTTTTTGTGTGGTTCGTTGGTTTGTAGATAACACCCACTTTTTGGTGCGCTTCTCTTCACGTGTATTGCACGTGGCTGTTTGTAGACACGTGTTTACTTACATATTCTTTTACCCCATTCTTATTTTTTACTAATAACGGAGCTTTACGTATACTCCATTGTATTTTTTGCAGTGAGACTAAACAAAAAAATAAATAGAAAAGTATATATTACTATTATTGAATTGTAAATTATCATAAGCCTTAGAGAAAACTCTATTAAAACTTTATGGTGCTTATGCGTAGCTGAGCATTCCAATTTCCACTTGAACGACATATATATATGTCGAGAGTTCATAAAAATTCGACTATAAATACCGACCAATAGGCCTACGAGACTGTTGCTTATTGGCTCTGCAACAATATTAGTGATAATTATATTAATAATGAATTACTTTTAACTACTTTTTTAATGATATCGACGCTTGAATTTCATTATTTTTATTGCTACTTTAGCGGGTTTGGAGAAAAAATTAAACCAATAGTTATTATGATAAATATCTTGGTCGCGACCTAAACTGCTTATAATTCAGCGGAAGCCTAAAGAGGAGAAGAATTCATTCGTGGGGGTTAGTCTATGTTTGGTAGTATTTCTAGTGAACATGAAAGGCCAGCCTTATTGGATTAACGAATGGCGGTATTTTGGTAGCACGAGAGAATGTTTGCCATATGTGCAAAGGCTTTAACCATTGGCTCTCAGCAAATTTTATAACACCAAGCTGAGCTAATGAGAGGAGGATGCTCCCCTCATGGCGTTAATAAATCAACCTGTTTTATACTTTCTCCTCTCAAAAGAAATTAAGGATTGCTTGTGATTCAATTATTTGTCACCTTTATTATATTGTTGCAGATAAGTAACTTTAAAGCTAAAAATAATAAAATGGCGCGAGACTTTTAGTACTTTTCATTATTAAATATCGCTTTATATCTATTAATAAACTATTCATTATTTTTTTAACTTTTAATATTTTTATTATTCACATTCCGTGTACCATTATAATTCATCATTTACCGTTTTCTACTATAAAATACTTAAGTATTTTCTATTTTTGTATATTTTTATATACAACAATTTTTATACTATTTTATATAATACGTATATTTACACTATTTTCATTATTTTTGGTGTTAATATTTCATTTTTCTTTCCATATAAAGGCGGACTGAAACTCAACGCACCATTAGGCCATTTTCTAGGCAACGTCTTTGCCAATTACATGAACGTGTGGAAATGTATCATTAAGCTCTCTACTTATTCTCCTTTCTCCTTGTCAGTTGGCTATATATGAAAGCCAGTTGCGGCCAATCCACATTTTTATATTTTTTATTCTTTTTGATTTTTTTTAACTACTGAAGTCCTATTTTGTATTCTATAAAGTTTTTTTTTTCGAAGTTTTGATATATACTTTTTCTTTATTTTTTTAAACCAGATGTTATTATTTATTTGTTCTCGATTCTTCCATTCCTTCTGAAGTTGAGTTTTGTTTTCGGATGCTTTTACGGCGTTATTCTTCTTTTTTCGATTGCAGTGGATTTCTTTCGTATATTCACGCTGCATCTTGTCATCTGCTTCGGTATTTGGTTAAATTATTTTTCATTTTCATAATAATTATAATACTATCTTAATTATAATTCTTATGAATTTTTGAAAAGTTTTAATGTATTTTAGAGAATGTAGGTAATAACATTTTTTATACTACTTTTTAAATTTATTAATAAACTTTTATGATTTTTATTAATATTCAAAAAGTTTTGTTAATATAATATTTTGTATATATTTTTTTGAGTATATTAAAAAATATATAATTATAAACTTTTTTTTATAATTCTTTAGAACTTTTGATAAAGTTTTAATTTGGGAATTTTTTTTTGTTTCTGTATATGAACAGTAATTTTTATAAAATAATATCATGATAAATATATTTCTAAAATCCCTAATAAATAATTTTTTCTATTAACTCAACTTATTATAAAGTTTGTATATTTAAAGAATTATATCCGCTTCAATATATTGATAATAACTTTTATGTATAATATAATAATAAATAATAATAATAATAAACATTTTTATAGTTTCTTGATTATATTTATTTATAATCTTTAATAAACAAACTTTTTTTATATAGTTCTTCTGAACCTTTAGAAAAGTTTGTATTTATTAGCAACTTATAAACTTGAAGACTTTTAAAATTGAAATCTATATTTTGTTTACTTAGTATAAATTTATATATTATAAAAGTAATGAATGCTTAGTAAAAGTTAGTAACCTCCATTTATTTTAGCACGTCTCCATAAAAATTAAAAAAACTTTACAACTTTTATTATGAATTTTTATGCATGTTTGAATAATTTTTATAATAATTTTTAATGAAAACTGTTCATCTTTTCTATTTGTCCTTTTACATATTTATATAGTTTAGTTGGCTGAAACTTTTCGTTATTTTTTTTTTTGCAAATTTACTTATATTAGTGGTTTCCAGAAAATTATATGAAATTTTTGTGCACAACCTGCTCTCCATGTATAGGCACTTTATGGGTACCTTTGCTTTTTTATGTTTATACTAAAGTTTATATAAAGGTTTATATATATACACAGATATAAAGAATAATAAGGTTTGAGATATTATTCTTCTATTTTAATTAAAAAAATAAAAAAGTTTTAATAACTTTTTAAGGAAAACAATATATATTATTATTTTATAATAAAGTATGGAAGCGTTGATTTTTTTCCTTAATGTTAATACTATTTTTTTTGTACATTTACTAAGAAAAAAGTATAGTTTTCACATATTTAAATAAACTAGGAAATTACTAAAATATTTTAGTTGGGTTATCTATTACAAAAGTTAAAAGGACGTCCCAAGTTTTCTTTATATCAGAAAAGTATAATAAAAATATAATACTGACAACCATAAATGTTTAAAAGTTAAATAAATAAAAGAAAGTTTGTAAAAAAAAAATTATTGTTATTGTATTTATATTTATTATTTATAAACTTTTTGTATTTTTTATTTTATTCCTATTCTTTTTTTTACTAATAATTATTTCTTTAATATTTTTCTATTATATCATTATTTCGTATAAAATTTTGCAGGCATTAAATGGAATGTTCTTCGCAGGAGGATCGACTCTTGCGAGCTCCGAAATGACCAACTTTTCGTCAATACGCTTTTTTTAATGAACCTTTTGTTTCTTTTTCCTACAGTCGCCGTTTATTATTACGCTTTTACGGCAGTAATTTTTATCATTGAATTTTATGTCTTTCATAATCTTAACCAATTCTTGTTAAGTTTATTTAATAAGTTTGTTATTGGCTAGAATTTGTGGGGTTCCATTTTATTATAAGATTCACTAAAAGTTAGTTATTAGCTCTTCGTGGCTTTATGAATGTTTACGTGGGTATATTCATAATTTATTTGTTTTTATTTTTATTTTTTTACTGAAAAGTTCAAATAAAAAATAATATTTATCTTTTTCTTCAAAAATATTATATGCTGCAAAATATATATTTACTATAGAGCTTTTTTGTTTTGACTTTTTTTACTTTTACCAATTTTTTTGTGAAACGTTTCAGTTTATTTTTTTTTTTAATAATTCTTAAGTAATTAATGCCTCTAAACTTTTTTTTATAAAAAGTTTGCTTTAATTTTTTATTTAATATCCCTTAACTTCACTTTTATGTATCATTTTATTGATAATATTTTATTTTTATGTTTAATAAAATATTCATAGAAAGTAAATGTTTCTTAAACCAAATTTACTTTTCATACTACTTTTTCTTTTTCTATTATTGGAAAAAAGGTTACTATTTTCCGCCTTTTTTTACTTAAAGTGATGATCTTCACGTTCGAACTGATCAACAACTTTCCATTGTTAGAACTGATATTGTATATCTGTTTTCCTTCAGTTCTTCCCTGTATTTTATATAGAATATATATTTATAGAATATACTTATGTAGAACTTTTTTATAGTATATATGATAACTTATTCTTTCTTCTATTATTTATACACAGCAAAATTATATTATGACATCAATATCGATATTGAAAGTGAAAATGTTTTTTGTGTAAAAGTTAAGGTAACTATTATTATTATTATTATTATTATTGTTATTATTGTTATTATTATTATTATTATTATTATTATTATTATTATTATTATTACTATTACTATTGTTATTGTTATTATTACGATTATGATTATGATTATTATAGACTAAACCAGAAGAGTTTAGTAGCTTATTATCGGGCTATTTTGATATGTTAGGAATAATAAGGTAATATTTAATTTTATTAGTGTAAACTGCGCTTTGAATTTTAATTGGTTGGAAAAGTAAAACTTTTATTTTGTGATTGGTTATTTTTCACTAAAAAAATAAATTTTTTATGTCTTTTTTTTTTAAAAAATTATAATTGGTGAAAGGTAAAAAGTGTTATAGCTTTCTAAATGGCATCTTTCCTTTGTGCCTAATTTCTCTGTAATACGAAACGCTGATTTGCGAGCTTGATGGTGATCAATAAAGTTATAGCTGATCTGAACGGAACCTACTTTTTTTGCAATTAAAAAAATATAGGAACATTACAAAAAAAAATTATTTCCTTAAACGGGCTTCAGAAAGACTTAAATCTTAGTTTAATATTATTATATAACAAATTACAGTTAGGAACGCTGTTTTGCTTTACTTATTTTTATTGAATGAAATGCTTTTAGGCATATTTTTTTATTGTATGCAAAAAGTTTAATTATAAAATAAAATAATAATAAGCAAATAAAAGGTCTTTATAATTTGAATCTAAACAAAGTATCAGGACTCAACAGGAAGACCATCTACCTACTATATAATAAATTAATAAAGTCCTTAACTTTGTTTAAATTCACATTTTAAAAAACTTAACTATTTTAATTTTCTTAAAATTCTGTTTTCCTCGCCCTTTAATTCAAATTAACAAACGAAAGTTTTTTTCATTAATTTTACAGGCAAAAAAATTTTTTCAATGCTAATTAATAATTTGTAATATTTGTAAGACTACTTCCTTTGTAAAATTCTGTTTTTTTCGCGCTTCCTCAATTTTAAATTAATTACTTTTTAAGTATTGCTTTTTTGTAATTAAACTCTATTGTGGTGATATTACGCTTCTCAATTTATTTTTGATTATTTTTATTATGCCGATTATAATTGCTTTTTATTTTTATATTATATTAAGTTTGCAATTTTTTTTTACTAATTCGCACTTAACAGAAGCAGTAAACTCAGCTTGAAATCGTTTCTCGCAGCTGTTCTTACTGGTCGATCTAGTCATGGCCTTCCTCATCTCCGTTTTCTTTCTCACAAGAGGAAGAAAACCACAAATAATCTTTGCTAATTAGTTAAAGCAAAGATTAAATAGAATTTTTTTTTCAATATTTTATTTTCGAAAGTTGCATTTACAATTTGGGTTGCTTTGAGCTTTTTGCTTAATTCCTCTAAACTGATGATTTGTTATTTAAAGCGTGCGTTAAAAATATTAAGTTTTTAATTTTTTAAAAAAACTCTATATGTAGTTAAGGCAACTACTATTTCTATCACGAAAAAATATTGAGTGTGAGGTATTAGCTTTCCTAACTACTTAGCGAAGTCGAAGATTAATTCAGTAAAATTATATATATGTACAAATTCTAAATCAAAGTTAAACTCTTTTTTGTCTTTCTCTTAAATCCACCCATCCTTTAATAATTTTAACGTACCCCTACGGGGAAAAAAAGTTACCTTCGACTTTAAAAAAGTCTGTGTAGACGTTAAAGTTAGCGTCTAAATGAATTTACGGTGGGTTTTCATATAATATGCAACGAAAGATAGACCTAAAATACTTCTTTTTAAATTAATTTAACCATAAAATAACTTTAATATTTGCGGTTTACAGTTAAATTCGAAACTTATGAAGAGCAGATAAATCTAGTCCTTTTTTTAACGCTGTGATTTTTTATTCGTTAGAGCAGATTTAATAACATCATAGCCCTATACGTGGAGAACTTATTATTTTTAGTAACAAACTTTTGAAAGCAAAAAACGGTTGTTAAAGTCTGGATTTTATCGAGTAAAAGCAAATTACTGAAGACCTGCGGATAATTAAAGGCTAAAAAACTTTGGTATTCCTAATTAGCACTGAACTTGCGAAAGAAGAGCAACTTGCTTTTATTCATCTTTAAAGTAAATAAGTGGTTCACATCGACCTTTGTCTAACACTCCTAGTCATAACATAACACTTGCAATAGATAATTTGGCTCAGGCTCCTTACAACATTTATATAAGTTTTGACAGAGTAACACAGATATTACGAAGAAAGTTCAGTGGCTCAAACAAAGAAAGGCAAAGAACTTTCCGCAGAAATATTTACCGATGCAAGATTTTTATGAAAAAGATCCGCTTTACACTATAGCCTAAAATTTAAAAAAATACGAAACTAGTACTACGTAACTATATGTTTAATATTATCTAAAAGCTTCTAGCTTCAAATTTATTTGAAATCTTACTAAGATTTACATAAACTATCAACTCTTTTTCCATGTTCGCTACTGGACAGTTCAAGGTAAAATTATGAAAACAAAGAACGATACGTCATTTCGACGTTAAAGGTATTCGAGAAAACTTACCATTAATTTCAAATACTGTCTTATCCAAAAAACGTGCTCGTTAAAGGTTTCGAATACTTTGAAAAAAAAAAATTTATAGATTTTCAAGGTTAAAACACGTATTCAGCCTATCTTCAACATGGATAGACTGTAAACTGTGCAAAATAAATTTTCAAGAATGTGGCCAAGAGTTTTTTAATATATGACTCTCCCAATTACCGTGAACGCGAATTGGAACCATTCTTGAAGTTTATCAAGCGCATAGCTGACTGCTGCTTCCAAGCATCTGAAAATCTTTGTGAGATTTTACTAGCCAATCCCCAAAATATATAATTCCTTTCACTTTCCCAATATAAAGGGCCGAAACACTATTTTGATAACTTTATTAGCAAGATGGTTACTGAAAATAATACAATAATTCTGATAATAATTGTAAGCAGATAGTTATAATATTAATTAGTAAAGTACTGTTCATTAACAATAATAAATAGTAGGGGTAATATCTATATTTATAATACACTGTTAGTCAAATAATAAAAGCGATAAAAGATATTATAGTAACTTATAGGACCTTATTTAAGTTTATTTCTGTCAATGCCTCAACTAATTTAGTAGATCAACTTAAGTAAGTACAAGTTGGATAGGTTATGTTACTCATATCGATAGCAACATCCAATGCAATGAATAAATAGATCAGCATTTCTTAATAAATATCGAGAGTTTGTAAATTAGTCGGATTATTTTAATAATAAATCTAATACTGTATTTGAAAGTATTAATGGGTTCTTTTCGATTTTTAAAAACCATACTTAAAATTGGTAGAGACCAACGGGAAGAAGATAACAGAAGAAGACCAATTATAAACAAGATGTGTACGGTCTTATCTCTTTTCTTTGTGCCGGCTGGCATTGCATTTTTCAATGGAGAAAATTTCGGATGTAAAGAGCTCTAGTATACAAAGGGCGGGCCATATTAGCTTGGAGTCATAACTAAACTATAAAAAGAAAAGCTCTTTCAACTTTTTCGGTCTTATTTTAACAAATTTTAGGGTTGATATATACACCCGGTGTGTTCTAGTTCCCGTTTCTAGAAGGCTGCATTAACTAGAAATTGAGTGAAAGTTTCAAGATGCAAAACTTGAAGGTATAAGTTCTCTATTTATCCCGACTTAAGACCGCCTAACCTGTATAGCGCTCATTATAGTGGTTTGTGTAGAAGTCACGATTTTATAGCTGTGAAAAACATTATACTGTATGGTTTGTAGTCCATTAGTAAATGACTTTCGACGAGCAGACTAATAACGGTTTATTAGAATTTTTGTTTTCAGGGAAGTTGTACACATAACCACCAGACCAAAAGAGTATTAAGTTATCACCGCCTGGAATCGAATCCGCGACAACCTTGGGATTGCGTGACAACTTTCTAACCACTAGCTACTGTGGCAACTCACATCCTCGGTCGATAAATTATACAACTTTTGTTACGGTATAACCAAAAATTTGTAAAAAAATATTTACTTAAAGGTTTCGCAAACTTATTTCTTTGCACAAACCCAGAATAGTGTCTGTTTGTAACCTTTGCTTTGTTAATAACGTAACTGCTGAAGAGTTATGCTGTGGTACTTATATGAGTGGTCCAGTAGATTAAATTTAAAGCAGGATTCCATACCTTTAGCCAAAACTACTCAGTTTAACTTAAACAAAGCGAC